GCAGCCTCGGGCCTCAGGGAAGGGGAGTATGGGATCCCTTGTGCACTCTCTTTGCCACCTGCAAACCATTAATCCGCTATTCTCACAAAAATAAACTGTATTCTACTTGTTGAGGTTCATCTTATTCTGCTCCTCTCCCCTGTGACCACCTGCAAACCTCCTGATTATTCCATCTCATTCAGAAAAGATTGGTGCACGGCTTAGTCTCCCTGCCTACCTCAGTTTCCACCAGCTTCCTTGCTGACCATGTTCCTCTTCTTTCTGGCTCCTGGGTCTTTTCAGCTTGTGAAATGGTCTTCTCCTCCTACTCTGGACTGTGTTATGGGGTTTCTCCATACCCAATTTAGATTCCATGATCCACCATTTTGTAGCTCTTTTGTCATATTTGTAAGCCTCATGTTGTTCTTAGCTTTCAGTTTTTATAAATACTCATTAAAAATATAAAGATAGAGATATACAGATCTCATATTCAAGAGCAAAGCCCCTGAATTTGCCTGTGATCCTTTAGGTGAAGGTCAACCCACATTCAATATGTGCCCTCTCTCTGCCTCTCCCTTTCTCTTATGCTTCTTCTGCCTCTACTTCTTCCTTTCTTTTTACCCCTGACTGTGTCTTTTGCTTTAACATTCCACAAGTAAAATTCAAAGTCAGGTGAATTTAGTTTATCTGCTTTCTCCACACACTCAGATCACTGGGAAAAAATTGTACACATGTAACTTTACAAATCCACCCTAATAACAATTGTTTTTATAAATAGCCATGTCTATGTGTGTATATGTATTTAAAGATGAAATCTTGCTCTATTGCCCAGGGTGGTCTGTAACTCCTGGGCTCAAGTAATCCTCTTACCTCAGCCTCTCAAGTAACTGAGACAATAAGCATGTGCTACCACACTTGGCTGTGATTTCTTTTTAAAATCAAATTCTCTTTCTTCCCCTAGAACTATTTCAAATTTTTTCAAATCTCTACTTTTCTGTGCCTCCCCTAGTCAAAATCATTTTGTCTCATTTCACTAAAAAGATGTTATCAGATGCATCCAAAGCCAAACTTGCAAATGTAAATGCACAAGAACCATCTTCTGTTATGTCCTTCTTTTTCTTTTTTCAATCAGATTTTATTAGTACATCTTAGATATACATAATGATCACATTCATCTTGTTATGTCCTTTTACAACAGACAGTGTCTTAGTCATTTTGCATTGCTGGGACAGAATATCTGATTACCCACAACTTGAAGGAAGAGAGGGTTATTAGGTTCACAGTTTCTAAAGTTTCAGGCAATGGCTGGCAGAATCAAACGCAGAAAGTCATGGTGGAAGGGTCTGGGTAGCAGAAAGCAGAAAATAGCTCACATCATAGCATCCAGGAAGCAGAAAGAGAAAGGAGCTTGGGAGATACCCTCTTCCAGGTCATGTTCCCAGTCCCCAGCCTCTAACCAGGCCCACCTCCTAACAGCACACGCACCTGAATTCACTTCTGGATGAACCCACTGCTGAGTAAAAGACCCCCTGATCCAATCATCTTCCAAAAGCACTGCCTCTTAGCTCATGAGAGGTTTGGGGGACACTTGGATCTAACCTGTAACAGATAGCTACCTCTTCCCTCTAGGGCTAATACCTCCACCTATGTTCCCAAGCCCTCTGTTTAGTACTTCTATTGTGCTTCCTTTTTTCATTGAGAGACCACTCTTTTCCTTCTGGCAACTGCCTTCCTCCCACTGACAAGTGTCATAGGAGTGGGAATGAAATTATCTGGGAATTAACATAGGCAGCAGGAGAGGAAGCATCCTGACATTGCATCCACTAAACCTGCAGCTATTGGGAGAATCTGCTGCCCCATAGAAAAAGCCCACACAAGGGGCTGGGGATTTAGCTCAGTGGCATAAGCGCCTGCCTTGCAAGCAGGCAGTCGTGAGTTCGATCCCTGGTACCGATAAAAAGGAAAAAGACAAAAAAAAAAAAAAAAGAAAGCCCACACAAGACAGAAGCTGACAGAGTGAAAGGATGTGCCAAAATAATGAAAGACAGCTCTGTCAACATAGTTTTTCAGCATCTGGATCGCATCTTTCTTGGAATTTCAGTTACATGAGACAATTTTATGTTTTTGTTTAAGGTATTTTGAGTTGGCTTCTATGGCAAGACAGTCCTAATAAACAATTTATTAGAACCAGGGATTTAGCTCAGTGGCTCACGTGCTTGCCTAGTAAGCATGAGATCGTGAGTTTGATCTCCAGTACCAAAAACAATTGTGCTGCTATAAACATGGGTATACATATATTGCTGTGGTACAATGTTGTTACTTCTTCTGGGAAGATGCCCAGAAGGAGAATAGCTGGGTCAAATGGGACCTCCAATCTTAGTTTTTTGAGGAATCTCCACATTGACTTCCCCAATGGTTGTACTAGTCTGCACGGCCACCAACAGTGAAGAGGCGTTCCTTTGTCCCAACAGCCCCTCCATCATTTGGTACTGGCTGACTTCTTGATAATAGCCATTCTTTTTGAGGTGGTCTCACTGCCTTTTTTTATTTTTGTATTTTTTAGTGTTGTTTTAATTTGCATCTCTTGAATGACCAGTGATGTTGAACATTTTTTCATATATTTATTTGCTGTTTGTATTTCATCTGAGAAATGTGTATTCATCTCAGATGCCCATTTTTGGGTCAGGTCTTTAAATCTTGGAGGACTGATTTTTTTTAGTTATTTATATGTTCTTGATAGTAATCCTTTGTCTGAGGAACAAATCCAAAACATTTTCTCCCAGATTGTGGGTTGTCTCTTCACTCTGTTGATGGTTTGTCTTGCTGTGCAAAAGCTTTTCAATAAGATGAGATCCCAGTTGTTGATTTTTTGTGATAGTTCCTGTGCAGTCAGGGTTTTGTTCAGAAAGTCTTTGACTTGGGGCTGGGGATTTAGCTCAGCGGCATAAGCGCCTGCCTTGCAAGCAGGCAGTCGTGAGTTCGATCCCCAGTACCGATAAAAAAGAAAAAGACAAAAAAAAGAAAGAAAGAAAGTCTTTGACTACATCAATATCTTCAAGAGTTTTACCTGCTCTATCTTCCAGCAGATTTAATGTTTCTGTTTTAATATTTAGAGCTTTGATTCATTTTGATCATCTACACTCAGCACCGTGCCAATTTAGTTCAGTTGTTGTTAAGTGTTTAGTGCATGGCAAAAGATGTGGGTCAGTTTTAATCTCTGGCATGTGCAGAGCCAGTTTTTGCAGCACCATTTATTAAAGAGACTGTCTTTCTTCCAGTAGATGTGTTTGGTATCTTTGTCAAAGATAAAGTGGCTTAGTGTGTCTCGAGTTGTTTCTGTATCTTATAATCTATTCCACTGATCTTTGGCTCTATTTTTGTTTGTTTGTTTGCCAGCACAACAGTGTTTCTATCATGGTAACTTTTTGGTATAATTTTAAGTCTGGGATTGTGATGTGCCCTGCCTTGCCTTTGTTGCCCAGGACTGCCTTTGCTATTCTAGGTCTCTTCTGCTTCCAGGTGAATTTGAGGACTGTTTTCTGTAATTCCATGAGATACGCTATTGGAATTCTGATTGAGGAGTTTCGGAAGTATGACCACTTTCACTATATGGGTTTTTCCTATCCAAGGGCAAGGAATGTTTTTCCATTTTCTAATATATTCCTCAATCTCCTTTTTCAGTGTACTATAGTTTCCAATGTAGAGGCCTTTTACATCTTTATTAGATTGATTCCTAGATATTTCTTTCTTCCTTTCTTTTTTATGGATTAAAAACTGGTGGTCAACTTAACAACAGCTGAACTAAATTGGCATGGTGCTGAGTGTAGATGGCCCACCTGAGGAAAGTTGCCAGCATAAAAGGAAATGTGAAGAGGAAGAGTGAGGCACTGTGGTTCTTCTAAATGTTTTGTTGGAGCTGCTGGTTTTCCTGGAGGAGCTTGTCATTGCTGGCTTCCCAATACGAATTCAGCCATTATCATCAGAAGAGCTCAGGACCTTGTCGCTGAGAATGGCTACGGCACACTTTTGGAGGAGCCCTGGTCCTTATTTTGAGCATTGCTTCCTGGCTCTGGAGGGAAAGATGTGTGCTGTTTAATCTCCAGGAGAAGCCTGTCACGCTGGCTTCCTGAAATTTACTTAACTGTTCTCATCAGAGAAGGAGCTCGGGAACTAATTGTCACTGAGGATGGATGTGGTAACTTTTCAGGCCCTTATTTTGAATGTCACTTCTTGGCTCCAGTGTAGAACCCTCAAACTACTAGCACACAACCTTTACCCTGCTAACATAGATTTTCTAGCTTTCACCAGTGACCTCTGGGCTTCCCAGTGAAGATCCATAAAACAGACTAGCCTGAGTCATTGTCATGGGCTCTAGGCCTTTAGTTGGACTTGTGGGAGGGATTGTCATGGGCTCTAGGTTTTCAGCTGGACTCATGCAGGATATTGCTTTGGAATCCAGGCCCTCAGCTGAATTTTCTAGGCCTTTAGTGTTGTGGACAGATCCTGCATTTTCTTGTGTTTAACTCTGGCTGACCATCATAAAATATTATAAATTCTATGTCCTGTATGTAATTGTTCTCCGTGCAATCCCTGACTAAAACAGTGTTGCTTCCCTGATTTCTTAGTTTGTTATTCCTTTACAGGAATGATACTAATTTTTGAGTGTTGAATTTGTATCTAGCTACGCAACTGAATTTATTAAATCTACCAGTATTTTAGTGGAGTATTTTGGGTCCTCTATGTAGAGTATTATGTCATCTTCAAATAACAATAGTTTAGCTTGATCCTTTTCTATCTTTATTCCTTCTATTTCTTTCTCTTGTCTAATTGCTCCAGCTAGTTTCCAGAACTATGCTGAGTGAGTTGAGACAGTGGACATCCTTGTCTTGTTCCTGATTTCAGAGAGACAGTTTTCAGTTTTTGTCTATTTAGTATGATGTTGGCTATTGATCTTTCATAGATGGCTTTTATCTGATTTATTTCAATTTTCTTTAGGGTTTTTATCATGAATGGGAGCTGGACTTTGTCAAAAGCTTTTTCTGCATCTATTGAGATAATCATATGATTTTTGTCTTTGGTGTTAGTATGGTGTTTCACATTTATTGATTTGTGTATGTTGAACCATTCCTGCATCACTGAGATAAATGCCACTTGATCATGGTGTATAATTGTCTTGACAGTTTGCTGCATTCTGTTTGCCAGTATCTTACTGAGGATTTTTGCATCTATATTTATTGGGGAAACTGGTCTGTAATTCTCTTTGTTAGTTTTTGTATCAGGTTAATGCTTGCTTCCAGAAATGAATTTGGAAGTTTTGCTTCCCTTTCAATTTCATTAAAGAGTTTGGGAAGTAGTGATGTTAGGTCTTCTATAAATTTTGTATGGAATTTAGAAAATCCATCAGGGCCTGGGTTTTTTGTTAATAGATTTTTAATTACATCTTTGATTTCATTTATTGATATTGATTTATTTAGGATTTTTATATCTTCTTGATTCAGCTTTGGTAATTCATATATATCTAGGAATCTGTCCATTTCTTCTGTATTTTCCATCTTATTAGAATAAAGTTTTCAGGGGCTGGGGATTAAGCTCAGCGGCATAAGCACCTGCCTTGCCAGTGTGTGGTTGTGAGTTTGATCCCCGGTAACAATAAAAAAGAAAAAGACAAAAAAAAAAAAACAAGTTTTCTTTTTTTAAATTTTTATTTATTTATTTTTTAATACAAGTTTTCAAAGTAGGTATAGATCATCTAAATTTCTGCCAGGTCTGTTGTGATTTCACCCTTTTCATTCCTAATTGCATATATTTGAGTCTTTCCTTTTTTGATAAGGTTGCCTTAGGGTTTTTCAATTTTATTTAATCTTTCAAAGAACCAACTCTTCAATTCACTGATTCTTTGTATGTTTTCTTAGTTTCTGTCAGGGGCTGTGCAGAGAACAATTAGAATCAGGACATGGAGTTTATATTATTATTTTTATAATGGTCACTGGGAGTTAACACAAGAAAATGCAGGAAATCCATCTGCAATACCAAAGACATAGAATATATAGGTAAGGGCCTAAATCCCACGGCAATGGCCCACTTGAGTCCAGAGAAAAATCCAGAGCTCATGACAATGCCTCCCATGAGTCCAACTGGAGGTCCAGAGCCCACAAGAAGATCTCACGCCAATCTCTTTTAAGGATCCGTGCTGGGAATACCCAAAGGTCAGTGGTAGAAGCCAGAAAGTCCATGCCAGCAGGGTGAAGGAGCTGTACTGGTGGGATGAGGGTTCTACGCTGGAGCAGAGAAGTCACACTCACAACAAAGACCAGGGCTATCCTGAAAGGCACCATAGCCATCCTCAGTGACACGTTAAGTTGACCACCAGTTCTTAATCCATAACAGTTTCCAATGTGTTAATTTCTTCTCTGATCTTTATAATTTCTTCCCTTGTATGAGCTTTTGGCTTAGCCTGATTTTCTTTTTCTAAAAATCTGAGGTTCATCATTAAGATGTTTATATGTGCTTGCTCTGTTTTCCTGATATGGGTATTTACTGCTATAAATTTTCCTCTTAAGACTCCTTTCATTGGGGCTGGGGATTTAGCTCAGCAGCATAAGTGCCTGCCTTGCAAGAGTGTGGTCATGAGTTCAATCCCTGGTACTCAAAAAAAAAAAAAAAAAAAAAAAAAAAAAGATGTTGTATTGTCATTATCATTCCAATGTAAAAATTGTCTAATTTCTTCTTTAATTTCATCTGTGACCCACTGGTTGTTCAGCAAGATGCTATTTAATTTCCATGTTTTTATGAAGTTCTTGTGGTTTCCTTTGGCATGGATTTATAATTTCATTGCACTGTGGTCTGACAGTATGCATGGGATAATTTCAATTCCTTTACATTTACTTAAGCATGTTCTATGAACCAGTATATGGTCTATTTTGGAGAATGTCCTGTGTGCAGCTGAGAAGAATATGTATTCTGATGTTGTGGGGTGGAATATAGTATAGACGTCTACTAAGTCCATTTGCTCAAAAGTTTGATTTAGTTTTAATATTTCATTATTCCTTTTTGGTCTAGTTGATCTGACTTTTTTTTTTCTTTTGTATTTTTGTATTTTTACCGGTACCAGGGATCAAACTCATGACCACACTCTTGCAAGGCAGGCACTTATGCTGCTGAGCTAAATCCCCAGCCCCTTGATCTGACTTTTTGTAACAGTGGGGTGTTGAGGTCTCCCAATACAATTGTATTAGGGCTTATTTGATTTTTCATGTCAATTATTGTTTTATATAGCTGGATACACTGGTATTTGTTGTATATATATTTATTATTGTTATCTCTTCCTCTTGGATTGTTCCCTTTACTAGGATGTAGTGACCTTCTTTATCTCTGTTATTCTTGGCTTGAAATTTACTTTGTCTGCAAATAGAATAGCTACACCTGCTTTTTTCTGGCTATTACATGGACTATTCTTTTCTATTCCTTGATTTTTAGTTTATGAATTCCTTTTTTAATTAAATGTATTTCTTATAAGCAGTGTATTGTTGGATCTTGCTTCTTGATCCAGTCTTCCAGTCTGCCATTAATATTGATGGTTATAACCGATATGTATTCACTTATCTTATCATGTTATTTTCCTGTTGTTGCCGCCCTCCCACCTTATACACTCCTCCCTCTAATTCTTTGCCTTGCCTGCTGGATTCCTTCTGTTGGGGTTCATGGAGCTGTAGTCCTTATCTTTTTCTAGAATGTCCTTTAGAACATTTTGGAGTGCTGGTTTGGTGGTCATAAACTTCCTCAGATGTTGCCATGAAAGTATCTTATTTCTTTATCAGTTTTGAAAGATAGTTTTACATGGTACATCAATCAGACTGAAAATTATTTTTCTTTAGAACTTGGAATATTTCACTCCAAGCTCCCCTTGACTTCAGAGGTTGTGCTGAAAAGTCATCTGTGATTCTGATGTGCTTTCCTTTATAGGCGATTTGTTTCCTTTCCCTAACAGCTTTTAAAATTCTTCTCTTGTGTTGAATTTCTGGAATCTTGACTATGATATGCCTGGCTATAGAATTTTTTTTTTAGCATGGCTAATTAGAGTTCTATGTGCCTCGTTTATCTATATGTCAAATTCTTTTTCTCTACCAGGAAAGTTTTGTGCTATGGTGTCTGTGAACACTTTCTTAACATCATTTGTAGTACCTCTAGCTTTTTCATTGACTTCAATCAATATTAAGTTATTCTTCTTTGTCTTACCTAGCAGCTGCTGGATTGATATCTCATAGTCCCTTGCTATTTTTGAGAAATCTTTCTTTTCCTGATCACTAACTGCAAGTTCATCTTCAATTTCTGAGATCCTGTCTTCTGTTTTGTGTATTTTCAGTGGAATTTTTATTCTCCTGGATATCTGCTTGAATCTGCCTTATTGATTCCATTTGTTTTATATGCTGAGCTTCCATCTATTTTTTTTTTCTTTAACTGCTCTAGCATCACTAAGCCTGGTCTTTATCTAAGAGATTATTTCTGATTTCATTTTTCCCAGAGCTTCATTCAATTGCTTTGTTGTTACCACTTTCAGATTGTCCCACTACACTGCCCTCTGGATTTGCCTTTGGTGAACTTGATGCATTGATGCATGTTTAAGTGTATTTTCATTTTTTCTTTCTTTTTTAGCTTAATTCCTGGGGTGATGCTTATAAATTATCTATATTGGGTTGTTTTATTGCTAGTATTTATGATCCCTAGTTGATGACTACTTCTCTCAGGTATCTTTCAGGAGCAGCTGGTTTTGGGTTTGAGTCTGTTGAAAGATTTTACCTCTTCAGTTTTTGGAGATGAGAAGTTGTTGGTTGTTTGGCCCAGTCCCTGGTACTGTGCCAATGTTTTCTGTAACCCTTAGTCAGTCTCAGTCATGGAATACCAGGACCAACAGCTGTTTAGAACAATTATGTCAATTTTGACTATAGTGGTACCAATAGCATCAAACACATCCTAGAGAATGACAAACTGAGCTAACCCTTAATTTGCCATTTTTAACCATATGAATTAGGTTTGTGGTTGTATAACAAAATCTAAAACCAGAAAATTATATTCAGTATACAAGTTAGTTTTGCCCTCAGGGGTTAAAATTTAAAATGGATTAAGGAGAAAATAGAGAAGTGTAAGAAAAGCAAGAGATTAGTAAGGTTAGAGGACAAAGGGGAATCACACCACCTTGGAAACTGGTGCAGAAGACTGAAGGAAAAGAGAAATGTAAGAAATAAAAGGACAAACAGAACAGAACCACAACCACAGAGAGGCTAGGAACTACTTTCACACTCATAAAAACAATATCCAACAATGAAGGAGAAAGAAAGCAGGAAAATAAGTCCACTTCCAGGGTTCTCTCTGGTTTCACTATTAGACAGCCTTATCGAGACAGAGTCATGATTTGTGTAAATTTCTCCCAGCAAGCCAGCAGTAGTTTTTTTGGCAGGGTAGTTGATAATCTGAAGCAGGTTTGCCTCAGGACCAGACTCACTGGGCTTGCTGCTGTCTAAGCAATTTCCATGGGTCTGAGCCCAGCTGGGATCTGCTAGATAGAGCTGAAAGCAGTTCTGGGTTCTGAGCTCAGCCAACCAGTCTCCAAAATGGCTCCAGTTAATCACTCTCTCCTGTGGGAGGGCTAAATCCTCTGTACTCACTGCCAACCAGTACAGTCCCTCCTGCCTGCTGCTTCCCTCCAATACCATGTCTCTCTGCAGAGGCCTCTGGGGCCGCCAGCCATCATCATCACCCTGGGTCTGCAGGTTTTAACTGCTCCTCTCATGCAGTGAGTTCAGTCTCAGGGAGAAGGCACACCCAGCTACCTCCTTCATTGGAGTTTCTCTCTTCACTCTCTCAGTGGGCTTCAATCCATACTTCAAATTCTTCCTGGGTTCAGTGGATCCACTTCCCTCTTTTTTTCTCTCTCACAATGCTATATTCCAGTGTCTGGATGGTGATTCTCAAAAAGCCTGTTTACTCTGCTCCTTAGTGCTCCACCATCTTGGTTCTTCCTCAGCCTTCACTTTCTGGAAGTGAAGCTTTACTCTTTATGTGAGGACCCAAAAAGTTTTTAGTGGCCTGATCACTATCTTCTTCAGCCTCACCAATCACTCTCCTTTTGCTCCCTGAACTTCAGAACAGGACTTCTTTCTGGATTCCCACGCACCCTCTACTTACATCTACCTAAGACACCCTGCACGAGTGTCTCTCCTTCTTGGAATATTAGTTCAGCCCTCCAACTGAATTCTCACTCACTATTTGGATCAGGTCACATTTTACTTCCTAGGAAGTCTTTCCTAACTACCAATTATGCCTCTTCACCAGAGTAGCTAAGACTCTTGTTGAATATCTTTAACTCTTTGTAGATTTTCATTATAGTACTTATCACCACTTATTGTTTACTTTTAAAATTGTTTTATTAAGTCTTATCTTTCATTAAATTCAGGGGGTAATAAGGAATTTTTTTAGTGTTGGGAATTGAACACAGAGAGTACTGAGCTACATCCTCAGCCCTTTTTATGTTTATGTATTATTTATTTAGTTTTTTTTTTTAAACAGGTTCTTGTTATATAATTCAGGCTGGTCTTAAACTTGTAGCAATCCTCTTGCTTTAGCCTCCTGAGTGCTAGGATTAGAGGCATGCATCACCACACCAAGCTTAGTTTTTAAAATTTTCGGACAAAGCCTGTCTAAATTGCTCAGACTTCGCCTGAACTTTCTCCTTCCTCAGGCTTCCAAGAGCTGAGACTGCAGGGGTACACTACCATACCCAGAGAGGTCTGTCCTTTCTATTCATCTTTATACCCTCCACATCTTGTAGAATACCTAACATACAGAAGAGGCTCAATAAGTATTAGAGGAAACAATGATAAATGAATTTTTAATTTAAGCCTACCTTAACCAGAGTGGAAACTGGATGCACTTTCCTAAGATTTTTCAAAATTGTTCCAGCCAGATTTGTTACAGACAATCCAATGGCCCACGAGGTATAGCCCTTCAGCTTGATCACCTCATAGGCACTGTAGTCACAGAAAGGAAGGAAACAAAATTTAGGAGAAATCAACTCAGAGAAACCATAATAGTCTTCAAGCATCTATTTTGAATTAATTGATACGTCAATGTCACTGTATTAAAATTTCTCAGAGATTTCTTTTAGAAATGATTTATAAATTATTATACTATTGTGGTATCTTAAATATAATAGTCTCACAGATTTTCATGATTCACAGAGTCAATTCAACTTTGTTTAATCATAAAGATGAAATACAAGGACAGATGTGCCAATCAGGATAAACCTAGTTTTTATTATTTATTTGGTCTTGTTGAGAAGGGTCGTGCTGTACAGTTCAGGCTGGCCTTGAGCTCACTTTGTAGCCTAGGCTGGTCTTGAACTCGCAATAATCCTCCTGCCTCAGGCTCCCGAGTGCTGGGATTACAGGCATGAACCACCATGCCGGGCAAACCTAGTTTTTAATATTTTTGTACTGTTGCTAAAATATCCAAACATAGAATCTGATTACCAAGGGGCTGGGTAATCAGATTCAGCAGCATAGCACCTGCCTTGCAAGCACAAGGTCTTGAGTTCAATCCCCAGTACCAAAAAAAAAAAGAAAGAAAAAAGAATCTGATTACCTTGAAAGTTACAATATATATCTCTCTGATTATTTAAAACTGTTACTGATATGCTGATATAACTTCATATAGTTATAATCTGTGTATGTATTTCTCCTAAGAATGTATTTTCAAATGAATAATATGTAATGCAAAAATATTTGTAATATATTTTCAAAGAAAAATAGAATAGTCTTTTGAAATATTAGGCATTTTTTTCTATGTTATAAAAACATAAATTTTATGGGAACTTTAGAATTATATCAACATGAGTTATTAATAGTGATCTTTTTTTGTAAAAGGCTTACAGGTAAGCTTATGTTTTTCTGAATTTACATATTTTCTACAATACATACACACTGTACTTTCATGTTGCCACCCACAGTGACCTGAGGATTAGACAGTCAAACTTACAGGACAAGAGGTTTTTAATTTAGTACTAAGTTTATTTAACTTTGAGAAACAATACAGGAAACAGGATCTGCAGCATCATCGTTCATATCAGGAGATCTTATAACCACCCAGGCACAATTTTAAGGCCCCACAAGTGCACATAATGCATTTGGTTGCATAAGGCTGGAGCATACATGGACAACCTCGGCACAGCGAGACTGATCCAGCACTATGCCATTCTGCTGTCCTGTGATTTGACTGTAGATTCAAAAGCATGGCCACTATTTGAGGCCATGCTGATTTGATAAGTACTCTAAGGAATAAGAGTTCAGTGATACAGGCCTTGCCTGGGATGAACAAATTCCTAATACTGTCATTTAAAAAAATGTTTTAAGATCTTCATTTCAGGGGCTGGGGATTTAGCTCAGCGGCATAAGCGCCTGTCTTGCAAGCAGGCAGTCGTGAGTTTGATCCCCGGTACCGATAAAAAGGAAAAAGACAAAAAAAAAAAAAAAAAAAAAAAAGAAGAAAGGGAAATCCTGCCTAGTAATGAGTTGGTTGATGGTATGCCACCTGTGAGTTAAAATAAAGCTCTGTGGTAGATCATGGGAACAGATATTATCAGTGGAAGCTGGAGGACGTATTTTTCTCTCAGGAAATCATAAAAATGGATTGAAAGGGGAAGAAACTTGGGAAAAATGGCTAAAAACACAATCCATTAGTTGCTATTTACCGTACTGATGAAAATAAAACTTTGGGGCCAGGAGTTTAGCTCAGCAGCATAAGCACCCGCCTGGAAAGCATGAGGTCATGATACCAAAAACAAAAAAAGAAAATTTCTGGCGTGAGTACGACTGGGGCTAGACATAGTAGCACTGTATGCTTGCACCAAGTGCCACCAGCGCTTCTCTTTGAGGCACTGTCTCAGGGGCAGCTGTTATGCAAGGAATGTCAGGTTACACACCCTGTTGTGAAGGACACCTACAGGAGGACTAAGTACCAGCAGGAGAAAAAAACCAATATAATATGTAAGAAGTGTGCTGAGAATGTACAATTTTGTTCCCAGTACTCAGGAGGCTGATGCAGAAGGATCATTGCAAATTCAAGACCAGGTTGGGCTGCAAAGTAGCTGAGGCCAGCCTGAACTGCATTACGAGACTTGTCTCAAAAAGATGAAGGAAAAAAAAAAAAAAAAGAATGTACAGTTGTATAAAAGCCTAAGGCTGGGGATTTAGCTCAGTGGTATAAGCACCTGCCTGTAAGTGCGAGGTCAGGAGCTCGATCCAGGGTACCAAAAAAAGAAAACAAGAAGTTGTATGGAAGCCCAAACCTTGCCAGTATTGTAACATAACTGTAGCATTTACTGGCAATAAATGCCAGTGCCACAAATTCAGAGAAGCATGGGCTGCCAGATTCTTATGAACAGTGCAAATAGCAGAAGATGATGGATGGAACGAAGGGAAATAGTAGACGGGAACTGCTGTGCTGGCTGTGCACACTTTCACACCATAGTGCCCTTCAGAAGCCTAAAGAGCAGTGGTGGCAGTCTTTATTACAGCCAGAAGACACTTTCTGCATCTTCAGCTCAAAATGAAACCCCAAAGAACAAAATCCAAGTTTGAGTCAATCACAACTAATGGAGACAGCTTTTCCCAGACCTGGCTCTGGGCTCTCCAGGCCTGACCACTTGGTCATCATCAGGCAACTGAAGCAGGAGGTGGCTGCTCTGATGATGTTATATCAAAAGGATCAGATGACTTTAGAGAAAAAAAGATTACAGAGTTCAAGGCTGATTTTCAGTACCAGGAATCTCAGGTGAGGCTCAAGAAGAACCAAATAGAGAAAACCCACAAGGAGTCACAGAACAATTGCAGGCCAAAAACTGAGAGCCCCTGAAGCAGGCAGCTGGCTGTCCAAGAGCAAGAAGTCTGCAGTCAGGAGCTATAGCCTCTCCATGAAAGCCCACAGGGCTGCTCTCCAGCAACGGCAGATGGGATCACCTCAGTCAGTGTTGGAGACCTGGCTGTTCTTGGGGAACTTCAAGCTGTCTTAATGATTCTATTTTTTAGTTTTTATCCTCCTTTGTGCAGTTATTAGGGCTCAATGGAAACACCTGGTCTGCGCAGGCTTGTGACTGCATGCTTGCATGTCTGGGTGTCAGGCTCGCCTCTTTTTTTCTCTAGTCCTGCTCCTTCCACTCTTCCTCTTCTCCTCCTCTCTCCCTTTCTTTCTCTTCTCCCCTTGCCTTCTCTTCTCTCCTCTGCCTTCTTCCCTCCCCTTCTCCCTCTCCTCCTCCCGCTCCCCCCCCCTTTCTATTTTTTTTCTTTTTTCTTTTTATCGGTACCGGGGATCGAACTCATGAGTGCCTGCTTGCAAGGCAGGCACTTATGCCACTGAGCTAAATCCCCAGCCCCTCTCTTTCTGTTTTGATACTGCTCTTTGTTCTTTTGTGTGGTAACTGCTCAGTGAGTGTTACGTGCAGGATGACTACTTTCTGTCCATCACTGCGTCCTGCCATACCTATGAGCAAACAGATTGGCACTTGTGCAACTATGTTATTGTGGCATTATTTTTTTTTATTTATTTATTTATTTTTTTTTTTACTTTCTTGAGACAGATTTTCACTACACAGTTCAGGCTGGACTTGAACACACTATGTAGCCCAGACTGGCCTTGATCGCAGCAATCCTCCTGCCACAGCCTCTTGAGTGCTGGGATTACAGGCATGCCTGGTCATGCCTGGCTTTTGTGGCACTATTTACAATAGGTAAGATGGAGTCAACCTAGATGCCCATCAACAATAAAGGAAATACCATGCCTATATACATAACTGGGCATTATTCCTCCATAAAGAATGAAATACTATGCCTTACAGGAAGTGATTGAAACTGGAGGACATTATTGAAGCAAAATAAACCAAACACATAAAGCTACCGAATCTTCCTAGGCACTCATCAGTGGGCAAATGTATATAGACAAAGGGTCTTCTTATTCAGCCATAAAGAAGACTTGAATTTCTTCCATTTGCAGCAAAATGGATGTAACTGGAGGCTGTGATCTTAAGTGAAATAAGCCAGACACAAGAAGACAAATACCCCGTGTTACCTTTCATATATGGAAGTTACAAAAATATTCCACATAAATGTAGAATACTGAATAGTGATTACTAGAGGTTGGAAAGTAGGAGGTAGGAAAGGAAGGATGAGTAAAGGGAGGTTGGATTTTTTGTAAACAACCCTTGTTTGTTTGTTTGGGAACAGGGTCTCACTATGTAGTGCAGGCTGACCTTGAATTCACCATGAAACCCAGCACATATTCCCAGTACGTCATGCCCACATTCAGCATGGGGAGCTGGTAATGTTCACCACACATCTCAGTCCTTTTTCATCCTCTTCCTCCTTCCTTCGCCCTCCCCCGTCTCTTGATCCCCTTCCCATTTGAGAAAGGTCTATCTCATTGCTTCCTATTGTCTACCTTTTATTTCCTCTATCTATATTTTGGTTTTCTCACATAGAAAAACTATGTGACATTTAAGTTTGTGTGTGATTTATTTCCCTTAACATATGGTCTCAAGGTTGCATCCATTCTCCCATACAATTCAAGTTATCCTTCTTTATGGCAGAGTAGTGCTCAAACTGATCCACACCATAAAGTGAATGCCATGTTAGGACTGAAAAGCCACTGTATGAAATCATAATGTCATTCCCCTGCAACCGTGGATTAGGTACTAAGAAATTAGATGCCAATAATGTGAAAACAAGTTTTAGATACTAATAGAAGTATCCTAATCTGTTTCTAAGTGTAGATCTAAACAGTGACTGGTAAATACTTTAAATTTTGGATATTGCAGATGTGAAAAGACTCATCAGAATAATTTCTGACCTGTAACATGTGGTTCTGCTTGTGGATTGTTACAGTGCAGCTCTTAAACTTCCCTCAGGGCTGGAGATACAGCTCGGAGGTAGAGCACCTGCCTAGCACTCATAGGCCTAGTGAATTCCGAGTGCCATAAAAAATAAAGTCCTCAGATGTCCTCCCATAGAATCCTGTGTCAAAAGCCTCGTTCTCAGTGGATGGCTGTCTTAGGAGTTATGGAAACTCTAGGAGATGGGGCCGCATGGAGGAAATAGGTCACTGGAAATGTGCCCTGGAATATCTTGTTCACCAGTTTCTCTCTCTTCTTTTCCCTTCCCTTCTTTTCTCCCTCTCCTCCTTTCTCCCCTCTCCCCCTTTCCTCTCCTTTACATGCCTATAATACCAACACTCAGAGGCTCATGCAGGAGAATTGCAAGTTTGAGGCCAGTCTAGGATACTTAAGAGTTCAAAGCCTGAACTACATAGCTAGATCGTGTTTCAAAAAACTCAGAAAAAAACTAACTTTTCAAACTAACAAGTCAGTTAGAGAATACAAACTTACCATAATCATTTTTTTGTTCTATTATTTCACTTTTCAATTCCATGTCCCATTTCTTATACATTTTTTTCCCCTTTTTATCGGTACCAGGGATTGAACTCACGACTGCCTGCTTGCAAGGCAGGTGCTTATGCCGCTGAGCTAAATCCCCAGCCCCTTCTTATACATTTTCACTAGGTTGTTATCACAAGTCTACATAAAGAAGACTTCCAAAAACGAGTTTTAAATTTTGTGGCTTTTACTAATATGCAATGTGGCTGTAGACAATCATATGTGCTATTTAGGCTCCTGTACATACATTCCAACACTTCATTTATGAGAACACTTTGTTACTTTTGCATCATCTGCATTCACTTCAAGTCATATGAGCATTCAATAAGTTCCAGGTGCTGTTCTTTATGTACTAAATTTATTACTCTAACTAGTCACCCTCTAAATAGGTCCTATAATCACCTCCATTTAATAAACTGAGCATTTGATATCTTAAGTAACTTCCCTCTATAACACCACTGGTAAACAATGAAGCCAAGTTTCAAACCTGAATAACCTGGCTCCAAAATCCATGCTCTAAATCACAATGGATTACTATCTTTCAAATATACAGAAACTCCTATAAAATAAGTACTTCTTTAAAAAAAAAGACCAACAAAGTAAAACTATCCACAGTATGTCTGAATTTGAGGGTTTTCAGAAGCCTAGAGTTATTTATCTCACAAGAAGCCAAGATGAGCCATCAGCTTTTGTCTGTGACTTTTTTTGGTAATACTAGGGCTGGAATCCAGGACCTCACTATGCATGCTAGGCAAGCATTCTACCATGAGCGATAAACTCCTCCCAACATTTATTTGTGGTTCTGAATATTAAGGCATTAAGAACGTAATGAGTACTGTTACCTTTCAACAACTTGTTTATGGACAGTTTTCCACTGTTCTTTGTCTGAGTCAGTTCCTAAGTCAGGGTTCAGAGACTTTAGAGGAACACCTGCAATATTCACCCCACTCCATAAAGGCACTAAAAAAAAGGATACATGTTTAATTTATATACAATACAAAATTCTTATATATTTGTTATACACAGTATGATTTTATGTAGTATTTTAATATACTGATATACATTTGTTATTTTTATATATTTATATATAATGTGTATACACCAAATAAGCTCTGATTGCCAATATTACATCAGGTATTTAAGTTCAGAGTCCTATTTTTAAGGTAGGTTATAGCTTACATGTATATAAAGATAATTTTCAAATGGAACAAAGAGAGAATTAAAATAAATAAATTACAAAGTATTAGAAATTATGTGGCTCCTGGGGCTGGGGATTTAGCTCAGCGGCATAAGCACCTGCCTTGCAAGCAGGCAGTTGTGAGTTCGATCCCTGGTACCGATAAAAACAAAAAAAGACAAAAACAAACAAAACAAAAAAAAAGAAAATATGTGGCTCCTGAGATCCACGCCATGTTGGAACTTAGGACTCTGGGAAGCCAAGCCAGCACCTCCCCTCCCTGGTAAGTGTGGCCCACTGTAGCCCTTCCAGGGGGAGAACTAGTAGTGTCTCCTGAGATCCACACCATGTTGGAACTCAGGACTCTGGGAAGCCAAGCCAGCACCTCCCTCCCTGGTAAGCGGAGACAGGGTGGCAGACTGCAGCCCTTCCAGGGGGAGAACTAGCAGTGTCTCCTGAGATCCACGCCATGTTGGAACTCAGGACTCTGGGAAGCCAAGCCAGCACCTCCCTCCCTGGTAAGCGGAGACAGGGTGGCAGACTGCAGCCCTTCCAGGGGGAGAACTAGCAGTGTCTCCTGAGATCCACGCCATGTTGGAGCTTAGGACTCTGGGAATCCAAGCCAGCATCTCCCCTCCCTGGTAAGTGGTGGTGGTCTGGCAAACTGCAGCTCTTCCAGGGAGAGAATCAGCAGCAACTCCTGAGATCCATGCCATGTTGGAACTGAGGACACTGTGAAAGCAAATGACCATCCTGCCTCCCTGCTTAGCAATAGTGAACCTACTGCTACATGGCCTAGAGTCAAATATCCCACTTCCCCTATCCTCCTTCTCCTCCTCCTCCCCGCCCATTAGCAAGTGGGAACCAGAAATCTGAGCATCTCCTGGGAGGTTGACCATAGCAAATAAGGGGGACTTCCTTCTACCATTTCTTTGAAGGCAAATATTTTTATTACTGTTTTGCTCTTTTCTGATAAAACTGCTCTATTCAATATTCTGTTTTGATAAGTTCTATAGTGTTCTATATTTCATCTCATTTTGATATACGGGATTGAAAGAACAACTATTATAAAGATAACAAAATATACTGTGATACCTATTACTGTTATCCCGGTAACCTGCTATGAAGTTCTGTACCAATTTCACTGTACGATCTTAGTTGGCTTTATTCTGACTTGTTCTGTTGTATACTTTCAAAATAAAAATTTAAAAAAGAAAAGAAAATATGTGGTAGGGCATGGTGGTGCACACCTGTGATCCCAGCGCTTGGGAGGCTGAGGCAGGAGGATTGCTGTGAGTTCACGACAAGCCTGTTCTATATAATGAGACCCTGTCTCAAAAAACAGTGTAAAAATATGTAGTATAATTATTACTTTGAGGTATAAAAGGTATTTTAAAGCAATACAGAAATGCAGATTCCCCAAAAACAGGATAAGAAAATGAAATACTATAAGCAATTACAGAGAAAGTAACAGATTAATACCATACTTATCAACACTAGCACAGAGCTGAGTTGTAACTGTCAATGTGGTCTCATATTAAGCTAAATGATATTCTGAAACAGATAAAACTAAAGATCCTCCCATAACATTGACCAAATACTGTTGAGGAAGGAAACTGAGTCCAGAAGAGTGAGTTACATATAGGAAATAAAGAAAAGCAGTGAAACCAGCAAACATGTACTGTAGTTATGTTGGGATATGTAGTTATATATTTACACAACTTTGTGAATACAATCAGTGGACTGTATGCTTTAAATGAGTGAATTCTATGATATATGAATATCGTCTTTTGGTGGGGGATCAGACTCAGGGTTTTGTGCTTGCCAGGTGCTGCTGAGCTAAATCTCCAGCCCACGAGTGATATTTTAACAAAGCTCAAAAGCTAGGTGTGCATCAACTGCAGGGTGGATAAAAAAGATGTATTTTTATGCAATGGAATACTATTCAGCCATAAAGAATGATAAACTAGACTTTAGGACACAACTTACAGTGGAATTATTTCCCCAAAAAGCCACTCCAAATAGCTGGAAAGGACAGTCACTCTACCTGATACACAAGTACTATTTCAGGGATACAGGAAGTATGAAAAAAAATTAAGGAAAATGACACTGTCAAAGAACTATAATAACTCTTTGGTAACAACCAAAAGAAAGGAAATATACAAATTGCTTGAAATGGAATTCAAAATAATGATCCTAAAGAAAATTGATAAAGTATAAGAGAATACAAATAGAAAATTCAGTTAAGTGAGAAAAATAGAGGTCTGAAAGGAAAATTTAAGGAGATCAACATAAACATATAAGGAACTGAAGACTTTAATAAATGAAATAAAACTGCAGTAGATGGCTTAAATAGTACACTAAATCAAGCAGAAGAAAGAATTTTTAAATTTGAAGACAACTTTTGGAATAACTCAGTCAGAGGGAAGAAAAATGAAGAAAGCCTACAGAACCTAGAGGACACCACCATGCAAACAAATATTCACACTTTGAAAGTAAGAAATATGTAGAAATTCTGCTTAATAAGACATTAGCTGGAAAATTCTAGAGGCTGGGAAAGATGCAGACATTGAGATCCATGAAGCATACAGGACGGACTCCAAATAGATTCAACCCAAAGAGGCCTACTCGGTGACATATTATAACCAAACTCTCACAAATCAAACACAGGAACTGAAAATGCAGCTCAGGGGGGCTGGGGATTTAGCTCAGCGGCATAAGCACCTGCCTTGCAAGCAGGCAGTCGTGAGTTCGATCCCTGGTACCGATAAAAACAAAAAAGACAAAAAAAAAAAAGAAAGAAAATGCAGCTCAGTGGTAAAGTGCTCACCTCAAATGCATGAGGCTCTGGGTTTGATCCCCAGGTCCAAGAAAAAATATTAACAAAGAAATATTATAACTGACACTGTAAAACCACAAAGGATCATTAGAGACTACTATAATTAACAATATACCACCAAACTGAAAAATCTAGAAGACATGTTAAAATTCCTAGACACATACAATATAACAAGATTGAATCATAAAGAAATAGAAAACTCAAAACAGATCAATAATGAGTAACATGCTTGAACCAGTAATAAAAAGTCCTCTATCAAAGGAAAAAAAAAAAAACCCAAGAACTGAAGCTTCACTGCTGAATACTATCAGAAATGTAGCCCGGCATGGTGGCACACATCTATAATCCCAGCACTCGGAGGCTGAAGCAGGAACATCATTGCAAGTTTGAGACCAGCCGGGGCTATGAAGAGAGCTCAGCGCCACCTTGAGCTGCACAGTGAGACCCACTCTCAAAAAAAAAAAAAAAAAAAAAAAAGATGTAAAGAATAAACACCAATTCATCTCCAACTATTCTAAAAAAGTTAAGTAGGACAAATTCTCTCAAGAAAGACAAGAATATTCAAAGCAATCTTGAGTAAAAAGAACAAACCCAGAGCTATCAGACTACCCAATTTCCATGAAATGACCAAGAGAACTGGGGGAAACACCAAGATACTGGAGCCAGTGAGGAAGTTTTGGGTAGATCCTCAGAAGCACAGACAACAAAACTACAATAGCCAAGTGTCATTCCATCAAACAGAAAGCTTCTGCACAGCAAAGAAAACAACTAACAGGCAAGACAACATACAGAATGAGAAAATATATTTGCAAATTATATATCTTGCAAGGGCTTAAATTTCAGAATAAAGAATAGCAAAAAAATCCAACTTAAGAGGGCTGGGGATTTAGCTCAGCAGCACAAATGCCTGCTTGGCAAGTGCAAGGCTGTGACTTCGATTCCCAGTTGCAAAAAAAAAAAAAAAATCCAACTTAAAAATGGGCAAAATATTTGAACAGATATATGAAAACATGCTCAACATCACTGATCAGAGAAATATAAATCATAACTACAATGAGATGTGATCTCTCCCCAGTCAGAACAGCTATTATCAAGAAGACAAAAACAAAGAACAAAAACCAAAAAACTAAACATAGTTATGGCTGTGTGGAAAAGGGAACTCGTATCTTATTGGTAAAATATAAATTAGTATAACCATTATGGAAATGCCTCAAAACTAAAATTACAATTTCCATATAGTCCAGCAATCCTTCTGTTGGGCATATAATAACCAATGGAAAGGAAATTAATATATTAAAGAGATAATGGTATTCCTATGTTTATTGCAGTGCTGTCCACAATAGCCAAAATTTGGCATCACCCTAAATATCCTAAATATTCAGTAACAAATGAACGGATAAAGAAAAAGCAATAGGCTGAACGTGGTGGTACATACCTATAATCCTAGCATGCTGGGAATCTGAGGCAGGTAATGCTAATTACACTGATTTGATCATTATATAATATACAAAGCTATGGGATGGCTCATCACACTTTATGTGTAATTATATGTCAATTAACATTGTTTTTTTTTAATTTAAAGAAAAGGAAACAAAAAAAAATACATGGAGATAAAAAAAAAAGGGTAGAAATAATACTAAATTACAGACAAACAAAAGGTAAGAAATTGCCGGTTGATAAGTTACAAATTGTCATCTTCGAAATGGCTGTCAGGTTATAGAATTAATGTATTTAGAATGACATTCAAAAAAGTGACCCTACAAACCATTCTGCTCTATGGTCAAACAGAAGCTCCGTAATATGATTATCAGTCCCACCTATTTGTTTTACATCTCAAAGAGGGTAAGGTTAACCATATCAAAACAGAACAGAACATTTAAAAAGAAAATAAAAAACAGTTTAAAGAAATACAGATTTCAAAGCAAGTCCACTGGAGATCTTCCTTATCTAACTGTCTCTAGCTTCTTACAAATAGTTGTCCCTAACTTCACCCACTTTATATACTTATTGCATATTATAGAACTAATCAAATCATTACAGGATGATGGAGTCTTTTTAGGTCCTCAAGTTCCAAATTAGGGAAGACAATAGCAACTACCATCGCATCTCTCATTCTCTTTGTGATAGCCATCCCCATCTCTGCGTATGCTGAAGTTGAGCTGAAGAAACCAGTCCAATGTCATTCTAATCAGCAAGCAATAGATTGGTAGAATTTATATTATAATGCTACAAAATAAGCCTCGGGTTTTTCAGGTCTCTTCCTCAGAGTATTTGTTCCTATCCTCTCTGTATTATAGGGAAAACCAAGTCATAACAAGACAGCGAAACAATTTCCTAGAAAAACATGCAATGGATAAGACTTATAAAACTATAATATAGGGGCTGGGGATTTAGCTCAGCGGCATAAGCGCCTGCCTTGTAAGCAGGCAGTCATGAGTTCGATCCCTGGTACCGGTAAAAAAAAAAAAAAAAAAAAAAAAAAAAAAACTATAATATAAATGATCTTCCGTAGCTACTATGTTTTCTCTTGTTATTTTCAATAGATTTGTCCACAACACTGGCTTATTATAGTTAAACATACTATCACCTATTTTTATAAAAACTTATCTTTGACTGCATTGTAGTATTTGAGAGCTGTTACTGATTCATACCAGTATGGATATCCTTTACATCTTGTCATGCTCAGAGTAGTTTCCTCTACTTTTAGGGTTGATTCTAACACGCATACCAATTTCAAATAGGATCAGTCAAGGCCAACCAATAGTCTTATGATTCAGATACAATTAAGATCAGTCATAGTAAGACAATGTAAGTAATACAGGATTTCAGCCTAAGTCAATAGGAAAGTAAGGATAGTTACCATGGTATAACCTGCTATTTTTGGTTCTAGAGGTCTGTGTCCTCAAATCTGACATGAGTGGACAGACCAGAACAAATTTAATTCAATCTAAATATGGCACTAGGACTACTGTGTCTTTTAAATCGTTATACACCATTAGCAATGACCTCTGCTTTTTTTTTTTAAATATAGTTTCAGAGCTGTCTCTACTAAAGACTAGCTTACCGTCTCTGCCTCATGTCTGCTACTCCACTTTTCTGCTATAATTTGTCCACCTTATTCCCTCATTCCATTGTCTGCCCCGTTCACTGAGGCCTCTCTGCCACTGTAGCTGGAATCCTGATATCTCTTCCTCTCTTTCTCTGTAATGTCCTTCAGCGCTCTCTGTAGGGTTGGATTGGTGGCCACGAACTCCCACAGTTCCTCCTTGTCTTGAAAGTATCTTATTTCTTCATTAATTTTTAGAGAGAGTTTTGACGGATATATGAACTTCGGTTGCATATTTTTTTCCTTCAGGACTTGGAATATTTCTCCCCACTCCCTTCTTGACTTAAGAGTTTGTGTTGATAAGTCTGCTGTTATTTTGATAGATTTCCCGTTATAGGTAACCTGCATCTTTTCTCTGGCTGCTTTTAATATTCTGTTTTTTTGGTGGATTTCTGGGATCTCGATTATTATATGCCTAGGCGTAGATCTGTTTTGATTGTAGGTAGCTGGCGTTCTGTATGCTTCTTTTATCTGGATATCATTTCTTTTTGCTATACGTGGGAAATTTTGCTTTAATATATCTGTGAATATTTTTTGTATTTCATTTTTGGATGTTCCTGCTTCCTCACTCACATTCTTTATTCTTAGGTTATGTATCTTTTTATCATCTTCCAGTTTTAGAATTGCTTCTTTCTGGTTCCTTGTTATTTTTAAGAGGCTTTTTCTTTCACGTTCATAAGCCCTAAATCTCTCTTCAAGTTTCAGAAGGTTGTCTTTAGTTTCTGTCAAGGCATTTTGCCAATATTCAATGGAGTTTTTAGTTTCCTGATATTCTCTTTGGATCTGTTTCATGTATTCTAAGTTATGCTTAAATTCTTCTTCAGATGCTTCTCTTTCTTTTCTGATTTCCTCAGTTCTTCCATCTGTGTTCTCTTGGGCGGGGCTTGTCATTTCTTTAACTAATCTCTTTATATCTTGCCTCACTTGGATCAGGAGTACATCTTTAAATTCCTCTATGAGATCATGTAAGTACTTTTTAATTTCGGCTGATGCTGTGTCAAGTAGAGGATGGTTACTGTGTTTGTTCTCTTCAGTGTTTAGTTCTCTTGGGTTTATTTTCTCCTGTTGAACAGCTGGAGATTTTTTTAAATTTTTATCTCTTGTCATGTTTCTGGTTTCTTTCAGACTGTCCTGGAGTTCTCTGGCCCTCTCCGAATTGCTTAGGGCCTTTCAGAAGCGTGCTGGCTTGAGTTTTTGCTGTCCTCCCCAATTTGCTGTTATCTGGGGTAGGCTGGGATGCAGGGGTGGTACAGTCTAGTCTCTAGCCTCTGTGTCAGTTAGTTCATAAATTAGGCTGTACTTTCTGGTTGTCACTGAGTTGTGACTATTTTGTATCTGCTTATTGGGCCCCAAGCAGAGGCTTGGTTTAGCCCCAGTAGCTCCTGCCAGTTCTCTTTGAATCAGAAGCAGCTGAGTAATGTCACTATGGCACAGGATTCTGCCCAAGTCCCAGCCGTTCTCTTCCAAACCTCTCTGTGACAGGAGCACCAGAATAGCAGATCTGCCCAAAACTAAGATGGCTCCCACTAAGTTCTCTGTGTGGAGCTGAAGCCAGCAAGTAATCAGGCTCTGCCAGGACTCAAGATGTCTTCCACCAGCCCTCCCTACAAGGGGATCTGGTGATGTCACCAAGCTGCGGTTTCTGCCGCCAGGCTAATATGTCTGCACCAGACTCTGTGTTATTGATTTCCCCGTGGTGGCGGGCCAGCTGTTCTCTGGCCAAACCCAGCAGCCGCAGGGTTCTCTGTACTCACCAGAGTCCGGTGCAAGTCCTCGTTCCAGGACCGCCGCACACCAAGCTGTCCACTTTTCCCGCACTCCCGGCACAGCGCTGCCGGTCAGATATCTGTGCACCGTTTAGATTTGAAACGCCAGAGCTTTGTACATCCGCTCTGGTGCAGCGGTGCAGAACTGGCTGCTACTTAGAGTCCCCGTCCGGGTCTCAGTTTCCCGCAGTCCCCAAAAGCAACTCAGCTTTTCGTGCTGGGTCCACGAGTCTGTTTGTTGATTTAAGGGCGCGGGATTTGCAGCCTCCCGTTATCGGCGTTGAAGGTCTCAGCACGACTTTAAATCCTCCAGCTGTACTGTCTTGGTTAATAAGAATCGCTATCGATTTGTCTGGCCCTCTCCATGCTATCTTTTTTTAGCTTCGAGTTTGAATTCTCTGGAGAGACTCTTCGCTCGATCCCCTAGCCCGCCGCCATTTTCAGAATCCCCAATTAACATTGTTTTAAAATAAAGGAACAGAAAAAAAAGATCAGGGAAGTAGTAACAAACTCTATACAGTATAGCAATCTCAGAAAAATACACTCTAAAGAAAATAAGTACTAATAAAAATATGTAGTTAACCACCAGTGTTAGGTTTATACTTACCACTGGAATCACCATGTTCTCCAATAATCCAACCATGGCAGCTTGCGGAATGGACACTCAACTTCTCTCCAATTAGGTAACGGAAACGGGCAGAATCTAGGTTACAACCACTTCCAATTACACGAGTTGCAGGTAAGCCACTTATCTTCCAGACCACATATGTCAAAATATCCACTGGGAAGAAAATTTCACGTTAGAAAAAATTCATAGTAGCCTCCTTTTATAATTTTCTTTTGCAATAGGTAGATGAAATATTCTGGAGTCAAATACAGAGGCAGTATAGAGTTCAAAGTGTAGCAAATCTACAAAGAAATATGGATAGTCTGTTATATGTTTATTAAAAGGCTAAATTCTATCAGAATTTTAAAGGGGAAAACATATTTTGAGGTACAATATGTGTATTTTTGTTGTTGTTGTTTTTTGTCTTTTTTCCTTTTTATTGGTACCAGGGATCAAACTCACGACTGCCTGCTTGTAAGGCAGGCGCTTATGCTGCTGAGCTAAATCCCCAGCCCCAATATGTGTATTATTAAGTATATTAAGGATATAAGAATACTTAGTATACCATCTGTATACTTAATCATCAGGCAATTCTACCTACTTAATTTTTAGACTCTTTGCATTACCACATCCCTGTTTAAGCCATCTGGCATCTGTGTGGTCATGCTCAAGACTATGTGCAGGCATGTCACATACCCAGGAAAAACAGGTCATCCCCCTAGCTTAGTGCTAAATCTCCAGCCCAGTGGCACAAGCACCTGCCTGACAAGCACAAGGTCCTGAGTTCCATTCCCGGTACAAAAAAAGTTTTTTCCCAGCACTTGGGAGGCTGAGGCAGGAGAATCGCTGCGAGTTTGAGGCCAGCCTGGGCTACAAAGTAAGTTGAAGGCCTGCCTGAACTGCACAGTGAAAGCTTATCTCAAAAGAACAAAAATAAAAATAGGGGCTGGGGATTTAGCTCAGCGGCATAAGCGCCTCCTGCCTTGTAAGCAGGCAGTCGTGAGTTCGATCCCCGGTACTGATAAAAAAGAAAAAGACAAATAAATAAATAAAATAAAATGTTCTGCATCTTGATTATGCTTTTTTTTCACACTGCTTATTTGAATGAGTACAGTTTATTATACATAAATGTTACCATAAGGAAGTTTAACAAAAGAAATGATAAAAAAAAAAGAAATGATATGGAGAAATCATCCTTATCTGGTAAAAGAGAGGGGAAAAGCTCACCTGGATTTGAAACAATGAGTATTTTGCAGTCAGGACTGTACCGGACTATGGGAGGAATGATTGATTTCATGATATTCACGTTACGTTGGACCAGAGCAAGGCGACTTTCTCCCTCCTGCTGCCTTGCCCCTGCTGTGACAATTATTAATTTGGAATTTTCAGATACCTTATAATCTAAAAAAAGGAAGCAAGACAGTATTTGGATCCAGGTTGCTATAATCATTGTGTCTTAACTCATTTTTAAAAAACCAACTGGGGCTGGGGATTTAGCTCAGCGGCATAAGCAACTGCCTTGCAAGCAGGCGGTCATGAGTTCGATCTCTGGTACCAATAAAAAGTTTAAAAAAAAAAACAAACCAACTGTATATTCTGGTTATCGAAGTTTAATCTAATCCCAGCACTCTGAGACAGGAAGATTTCAGGATCACCATGAGTTCAATGCCAGCCTAAACTACAAATGGAAACCCTGACTCAAAAACACAAAACACAACAAGACAGAAAGACTGAAATAAAGTTAACTCCAGAGAAAAGCTAGCTTATTTCTCTCAATTCTTAACAGCCATTTCCCTCCATTAAAGTATATGAGAAACTCAATTTTATTTGCTGGACTCCCAAGGACCAGGAAAGGAGAATCCTTTCTAGGTCATCCTTTTTGTTGTTAGGTTTTGTAGGTTTTTTTTGGTGGGGGAGGTACTGGGGATCAAACTCATGACCTAGCACTTGCCATGCAGGTGGTCATACCACTAAGCTAAATGCCTGGCCCTGGTTTTTTTTTTTTTTTTTTTTTTTTTTGTCTTTTTCGTTTTTATCGGTACCAGGGATCGAACTCACGACTGCCTGCTTACAAGGCAGGCGCTTATGCCACTGAGCTAAATCCCCAGCCCCTGGCCCTGTTGTTTTGATTTTGAGACAAAGTCTCACTGATTAGTCCAGGCTGGTTTTAAACTATGTAGCCCAGGCTGACCTTGAACTAGCAGCAACCCTCCAGCTTCAGTTATTCAAGTGCTGGAATTATAGGTATGCTCCACAATACCAAGGTAGGTCATCCTTATATTATGGGTATATATCTGAGACTGGTAAACAGAAGACTTTAGTTTGGTTTTTTTGTATGTTTGTTGGTTTTGAGACAGGGTCTTGCTAGGCAGCTCAGGCTGGCCTCAAACTCACAATGATCCTCCTGCCTTAGCCTCCCTCTGCTTCCCAAAGTCTGGGATCACAAGCATGTCCTACCAATCCCAGCCAGCTTGTTTTGACAATACATTTTTGCTTATATATATATATATATATATATATAATTTTTTTTTTTTTTTTTTGGTCGGTACCCGGGATTGAACTCACGACCTCACACTTGCAAGGCAAGCGCTTATGCCACTGAGCTAAATCCCCAGCCCCTGCTTACATATTGTCTATGGTGAATACTACCCTACAAAGGAAAGGTGAGTAGTTGAGACAGGACCAATATATCCAGCACAGCCTAAACTATTTACTATCTGATTCTTTACATAAAATTTATTGGCCAGGGATGGTGGTGCATGCCTGTAACTGCAATACTAGAAAGCTGGGCCAGCTTGGGCTACACAGTGAGTTCAAGGCCAGCCTGAACTACATAGCAAGATCCTGTCTCAAAAAAAATTTTTTTTTTGTATTGACCCCTAGGATAATTCACTGAGGTCCAGTGACTACCCATGCAACTTCCTAATTAGGTTCTGTCTCTGGCCTCTTAAATCCCATAAAGCAATGAAAACCAAAATTGATACTAGGTTTGGCTAATGCTAAGTGCTCTGCTTAACTCCAGTTTCCTTACTTCACTGCGCTTGTTCTGAAAATGCCTTTGTTAGTGGCCTAACATTTCTTTAAAGATTGACATATTTTCCTTTCATCTTTTATGCAGAAGTTTACAGCAAGATTAATTCAATTATTTATTATACCATATTATTGGAAACTGAAAAGTATTTTAAGAACCAGGGATATAGCTTAGTGGCATAAGTACCTACCTAGCAAGTGCAAGGTCCTGAGTTCACTTCTTGGTACCGAAAAATACTAATAATAAAATAACATTTTAAGACAGCAGTACTCTTGACTCCATTCAACCAAGTCACCAGATTAACTGATATAAAACACAGATACCAAAGCACACTTAATCCTCTCAACTACCTGACTACTGTCTAGTATGCCTGTGTGCTTCTGCTCATTAATTGCTACATATCAAAAAGTTACTCTTGGGGGCTGGGCATTTAGCTCAGCGGCATAAGCTCCTGCCTTGGAAGCAGGCAGTCGTGAGTTCAATCCCCGGTACCAATAAAAAGGAAAAAGACAAAAAAAAAAGTTACTTTTGAGGATGGGGATTTAGCTCAGCGGCATAAGCGCCTGCCTGGCAAGTGCTAGGCTATGACTTCAATCCTGGTACCAAAAAAAAAAAAATTAATAGTTGTACTCAAACACATTTATGCCAGTTATCCTCATTATTAATCGTTTAATTAATCATTACATATGAGTGTGAAAGAAATGCATATGAAAGCTAAACACGATAAACATGAGGGTTGAAGACTGGGCTATGGATAGACATAAGACATCAGGAGTTAGCTGGATTGCTAATGTTTATTCCTTTTGTGGCTAGTGGATACACCAACCTTTGTTATACTCTACTCTTTTTTCTTTTTTTCTTTTAGTTTTGTTGTGCTAGGGATCAAACCCAAGGCCTTATGCATGCTAGGCAAGCACTTTACCACTAGCTATACCCCCATGCACACCATTGTATTTTTATTCATCTTTTTCCTATGTCAGATATTTCATTAAAATTAAATTATAATTATTTATACAAAAACTACATTGAATGCGTGGGAAAGATATAGTAAAAAGTCATAGGGCATGGTGTCGCCCGCCTGTAATCCCAGCACCTAGGAGACTGAGGTAGGACAATGGCCACAAGTCTGAGGCCAGCCTGGGCTACTTAGTCACTTCAAGGCTATCCTGGACTGCACAGTGAGACTATGTCTCAAAAAGAAGAAGAAACTGCAAAATTTTAAATCAACTCAATCAGCCTGTAACACCAGCACTCAGAAGGCTAGGATAAGATCATTAAGTTCAAGGCCAGCACGGGCTACATAGCAAGACCATGTTTCAGAAACAAACAAAACAAACCCCCCTCTAATCAACAATGCTATACTCAAAGGCCTTGCCCTAAAATCAGAAAATTGACAAAAGAACTAAGTATATGCTTATAATATGTCCAACAATTTTAAGTTAAGTTTTAACTACCTTGAGGGCCAGGGATGTAGCTCAGCATCATAGCACCTGCCTGGCAAGCATAAGACTCTGAGTTTGATTCCCGGTACCAAAAGCAAAACAAAACAAAAAACTATCTTCAGTGCCAATGTTGGACAAGTGGGTTTCTAGTACAGCATAATCTATTATATTACCAATTATCCATTTCAGTGTATGTTAAAATAATCATTTTCCCCAGTTGTCCTGTGGCTTCTTAGTTGGTTAATACATGATAGCAATGCTAATAGGACCAAGTTTTCCACTCCTGTGTTCTATAGCCTTATGCTATGCCTTAAAACTTGGTCCTCTATGAACAGAAAGAAAACAGTATCCTGAAAATGATGACACATGCCTATAATCCCAGTGATTCAGGAGGATGAGACAGGAAGATCACAAATTGAAAGCTGGCCCAGGCCCCTTAGCAAAATGCCATCTCAAAATTTTTAGGGCCAGCAATATAACTCAGCAGCACAGTATCTGAATGGCAAGTGCAAGACTGAGTTTGATTCTTCCTGGTACCAAAAAGAAATAAAATAAAAAGGACTGAGCAGTTCAGTGATACAGCACCTGCCTAACATGTGTGAAAACCTGGGATCAATCCCCTGTACTACAAAAAAGAAAAAAAAAAAAAAAAAGAGGAAGAGGAAACCAGGTGAAAAAGTATGAATAAACATAAAATGACAAATTTCAAAAATAATTTACATAATATAATGTTGATTACGTAAAAAGTACATACAAAAGGAGCTATATATGGTGGCCCATGCCTGTAACCCCAGCACTTGGGAGGCTGAGACAGGAGGATCTCTGTGAGTTCTAGGCCAACCTATATAGTGAAACCCTGCCTCAATAAAAAAATTTTTAAAAAAAGATCAGCAGCAGCCATGTAGGCTACCTAGAGAAAAAACAGGAAGCCCTTCCTGTGAGCCAACTGGTGGGCTGGGAGACAAGAAAAGCAAGCCCTACCCCCACTGTAAACAACCAGATGACCTAGAGAAACATAGGCTTAGATGATAGCTACTGAAGTAAAAAAAAAAAAAAACAGCTTAATGCTCCTTGCAGTGTGTAGTGTTTGACTGACTTTGCAGGCCTAAATTCAGTAGTCTGAGCATATATTTAGAGGATAACAACATACAATATAGCAAATATGGGGGGTGTCCTTCTGAAGGTGGTAGCCATTGTTAATTCCCTATTACCTTGTTTTAAAGTCCTGTATTGTTTTCATTGTTTTGTTTGGTTTTAATTTTATCCTATTTTGTTTGATTTTATTATATCTGATGGCATGGGCAGCTATTTTAAAGATAACATATATTATGTAGCCATTACTGATTTCTATTATCTTGTTTCTAAGTTCTGTATCATTTTCATTGTTTTGTTTTGATTAGTTTTATTCTGTTCTGTTTTGTTTGATTTTATTATGCTGATACTATGGGCAGCTACTCAGAAGGTAACAAGAAGCATTATAGTAGCCATTGTTGATTTCCTGTTATCTTGTTTGAAGTCCTTATCACTTTCACTGTTTTGTTTGGTTTCTCTTTAAAATAAAAAAAAATTTTAATTTTTTTTTTTTTTTTTGGTGCTGGGGATTGAACTCACAACTGCACACTTGTAAGGCAGGCACTTATGTTGCTAAGCTAAATCCCCAGCCCCTAAATTAAATTTTTAAAAAAATGCACAGAAAAGGAAAAAAGTAGCTGGGCATGGGGAACTGAACTAGGATCTCATGCTTGCCAGGCAGGTGCTTTGCACAGAGCTAAATCCCCAGCTCCCAAATCCAGCAAGAAGGTTGAGGCAAGAGGATTTCTCAAACCAGGTGAGCTACAAAGTAAGTTCAGTTTTTGGATTTGGGAGGAGGGGTGTGTGGTACTGGAAAATGAACTCAGGACCTTGTTTATGCCAGGCAGATACTGTGTCACTGAGCATATATCCTCAGCCCTACAAAGTGAGTTCAAAGCCCACCTGAACTACACATCAAGACCCTGTCTCCAAAAAAAAAAAAAAAAAAAGAAGCAGGTGGTCGTGAGTTCAATCCCTGGTACCGATAAAAATGAGAAAGACAAAAAAAAAATAATAAAAAATAAAAAAAAATAAAAAAAGGAAAAAAGAAAACAATCATTAACAAAAGAAAATCAAAACTTTTTTTTTTTTTTACATTTTTCTGTATTTTCAATTTCCAAGCCAGGGATATAGCTCAGTGGCACAAGTGCCTGCCTGGCAAGCGTGAGGTCATGAGTTTGATCCTGGTACCAAAAAAAAAAAAAAAAAAAAAATGCAAATTTACTTCCATTATAATGAGACATTTCTTCAAATAGAACAAAACACAACTATTAAGCCAGGTTTGGCACCATACACCAAGGGAGGAAGAAAACTCATGACCTCATATTTGCCAGGCAGACTGCACTGCTGAGCTATCCCCAGCCCTCATTATTATTTTCAAGTCTGAAAATATCTTTATAAAACTAAAATTAACCTTTTCCAGAGACAATCTTTGAAGTACTAAAGAATAGGCTTCCATGCTGAAGATCCATTGTCTCTCCCTTCAGTTTGTTCTCATCAACATCAACAAGGGCAAGTTCATCCGCCAAGTCCTAAAACAGATGAGCATTCTGAATGAAATGTTTCTATTAGGGTTTTTGGCGAATAACAATTTCATGTGACTACTTTACAATAAACGAAGTCTCAGATTTTTAATTGGGAAGAATGATACAGAAATAGTTGCTGATTGTGACCAATAACCAGAAGCCAAGGTAAACAACAGAAAGTTAGAATATTAGTTGCAGTCACAATGCAGTTTGTTTCTTTCTTTGGTACCAGGGATTGAACTCACAACCTTATGCTAACCAGGCTAGCACTCGAGCCACGGAGCTAAATCCCTTGCTTTCACATAATTGTTAAGAGTCTCACTGTGCAGCCCAGGCTGGTCTTTTTTTTTTTTTTTTTTTTTTTGTCTTTTTCCTTTTTATCGGTACCAGGGATCGAACTCACGACTGCCTGCTTTCAAGGCAGGCGCTTATGCCGCTGAGCTAAACCCCCAGCCCCTCAGGCTGGTCTTGAACTCATGACAATCCTCCTGCCTCAGCCTCCTGAATGCTGGGCATGCACCACCACGTCCAGCTTTAGAATTTTTTAAGAATTGGTTTGTGGGGGGATTTAGCTCAGCGGCATAAGTGCCTGCCTTACAAGCAGGCAGTCGTGAGTTCAATCCCTGGTACCGATTAAAAGGAAAAAGACAAAAAAAAAAAAAATTGGTTTGCCCCTGCTTTTTCAGGTAACAGTTTTTTTTTGTTGTTGTTGTTTTTTGTTTTTTGTTTTTTTGTTTTTGTTTTTTTTAAGTGGGGAGAGAGTGCCAGGAATCAAACTCAGGACTGCACGTTTGCCAGGTAGGTGAGCTAAATCCCCAGCCCCCAGTTAACAGTTTAAAGTCAATTAAAGTTATAAAGTTCTTTAAAAGGAGTTTATTGTTTTTAACATCAACCCTAATTTCTTCTATCAGAGGACAGAATCAATGGAATGAAAAGGTACCTCCTAAATGAAAATATTTGCAAACCATATATTAACACTTAATATTGTGTATATATAAAGAACTACTACACAACAACACAGACAAAAAATTTTTTTATTGGGCAAAAGGACTCAGACCTATTCTCCAAAGATGATATACAAATAGACAATAAGCACGTGAAAAGATGCTCAGAAAATAAAAAACTTTCACTGTTTTATCAAAATTGGTACTTTTATTTTACAATGAGCATGTAATGCACATTTTAAAAAAATTAAGTATACCTGAGTGTGGATGGGCCTGCAATCCCAGAATACTAGAAGGCGGCAAAGGAATGGAGTGTTGAAGCCTCATTTGGGCCATTTAGCAAGACCAAGTTTCTTTTTTTTTTTTTTTTATTTTAATCCCCAGCCCCCACAAGACCAAGTTTCAAAATGAAAAAATAAAAAATAAAGGAACTAGGGATATATCTCAGGGCTACAATCCTGGGTTCACTCCCTAGCACTGGTGGACAAAACTGTGTACATTCTTGATTTTAAAATGACTTTAGCCTGGTGTGATGGTGCATATCTGTAATCCCAGCACTTGGGAGGCTGAGGCAGGAGAATTGCTGCGAGTTTGAGCACAGTCCCAACTAGTGAGAACTTGTCTCCAAAAAAAAAAAAAAAAAAAAAAAAAAAATCAGATGAGAGGACACATTTTGCTGTGCAAGGATTAGTCCTGCAACCCTGAACTCAACACCTTGAAGACCCACCACTGTTTCCTTGGTTTCCACAGCATGGGTTCATCGCTTACCTTTAGTAAGACAGTAATAGCACAAGCCATACCTACGGCACCAACTCCAACTATGGTGATTTTACATTGGGAGCCTTTTTCTTCTTCAACTAGATTTTCAATAAGCTGCTCCTTGACAGACGACATTTTGAGAACCTGATAAGGAAAATGCAATTTCAATGCAAACTCAAACTCCCTAAACTTACCACCCAATTGTGATACACGGACCTCACTGGACCTCTAAGGACCCCACCTGTTGAGTCTGCAAAATGCAGGAGGCAGGGGAGAGAAGCCAAAGAAAGAATTTCCTGGTCAAAGACCAAGATCTTCGAGTCAGTGGAAGAGGCCGGGCCACCCGCGGCCCGTGTGGTTCCTCCCTGCCCCAACCTCGTTTTTCACCCAGCACCAGATGCTCACAATACTTTGCTAAGTGCGACTCAGTATGGCTCGAAATGCACTACGCACCCCTTTAAGCAAGTAAGAAATAAAACAGTAACTCCACGACACAACCCTGTGCACTGCTGAGGTGCGAAGCCGGCGGACGGTTATGCCCAGGGAGCGCCACACATGGCACGCATTAACGTACGGCCGTGTGCGTCACGTGCAGGCCCCGCCCCCGACCGGCCCCGCGCAGGCCCACTGGCCCACGCCAGCCACTCACCGCGGCCTAGGAAGCTGATCCCTGAGCTGCTACCAGGTGGTGAAGACCTAGAAGATGGGCAGGTCAACGACCCTCTGCGGGGCTCCAACCAAAGCCACCCCGACTTGTTGCTTTGCGAGAGGGCGTGCAGAAGGGAATTGGACCAGGAATTTAAGAATAGGAAAGGAATTTAAGGGCAGATTGGGAATGATAAAAGTCGTACCTTTTATGTTGTTGTTGGTCTTTTTGAGACAGGGTCTCGCTATGCATTTTAGGCTGGCCTTGAGCTCACTCACTTTATAGCCCAGCTAATGTCGAACTTGCAAAAATCCACCTGTGGTGGGGCCTGACTCAAGGTCATACGTTTTGATGATGCACTTTGTACACATTAGTCCATACATTTATTCTTAGGCAATTTAAAAATTATCGGTGTCTGTAACTTCAGGACTAAGGGTAGTGACAAAGAGTTAAAAACCTCAACAACAATATCTGCTTACATCACCCTGCACAGCGTTTGCTGCAGGAAGGCTGGCTGGAAACAGAACAAGACACATACGAATGTAGGACCCACGCATCCTGCTCAACGAACATGGCCCATCTCCCAAAGATTGTGTATTTGAAACTGAAACTAAACAAGCCTGTGAGACTGGAATAAATGGCCTTGCCAATTTGCAACTTTAACATACAACTTTAGATAACAGCACAAGTAGACTAAGAGACCAGTAGTCACAGAAAAAGCATTCTTGGAATATTTAGATTTACTATGTAGAGTCTCCCCACAATCTTTAAACTCTTGTAAAAACCCCAATTTTAGAGGCTGGGGATTTAGCTCAGCGGCATAAGCACCTGCCTTGCAAGCAGGCAGTCGTGAGTTCGATCCCTGGTACCGATAAAAAAAAAGGAAAAAGAAAAAAAAAAAAAAAAAAACAACCCCAATCTCAAAAAAAGAAAAAAAACCAAACCCCAATCTCTCACCCTGATTGTGTGATTACTTTCTTGGAAACTCACCCATTGTCTTTCTTGACAGTGGACTCTAATTTGAATAAACTCTTTGTATTTTCTTGTTCTAATCTTGGTTTAAAAAAAGTTGTTTTCTGCACATCACTTGCACTGGACTATGTTAATTAAAATTTGAATTTTTCCAGGTAACGAATTGGGTGTAGTAGTGCATGCCTGTAACTCCAGCATTTGGGAGGCTAAGGCAGGAGACTGTCACAAGTTCAAAGTCAGCCTGGGCTACATAGTGAGTTCAAGGCCAGGCTGAACTATATATTGAGACCCTGCCTCAAAAATAAAAAGAATTAAAAAGAATTAAAGTATTGGGTTTTGACCCTTTTAAAAAATTTAAATAACCCACTTTTCATGTAACAGTTTGTGGTGTTAGTGTAATGCAGTTAAATATGATACAATAACCCTATTTTGAACACTTCATTGGCTTTCTTTTGCCTTTTTTTTCTGTACTGGGAATTGAACTTAGGACCTTGCACTTGCCAGGCTAGTGCTGTGCCACTGAGCTATATCCCCAGCTCTCATTGTGCTTGGAATAACCGGTTTTTACCAAGATTAGGGTTTTTTTTGTCTTTTTCCTTTTTATCGGTACCGGGGATCGAATTCACGACTGCCTGCTTGCAAGGCAGGAGCTTATGGCACTGAGCTAAATCCCCAGCCCCAAGAGTTTAGGTTTTATTTTTGAGACAGGGACTTGCTATGTGGTGCAGGCTGGCCTCAAACTAACAGTGATCCTCCTGCCTCCAAAATGCCAGGATTATGAACTTGATCCAGCATTCATGCCTGGCTCTATCCTTTTGCTCTCATAGCACTTCTCTCGGCCTACCAGTCCCAAGATAGAATCATGCCCTTATCTCTCAGTGACCAAGAGTGGCACTTAGTATTTGGTAAAGCCATTTGCTTCTGTACTTCCACAGTAACCTCACTTATACCACTAGGCTGAGGGACACTTGTGGCCTAGAGATGACCATGAATTCAAGCTGTACAATTGTCACGGGACACTGGCATCCAGGGGAGGCTATCATCTGGGTAGGGACCAAAGTCCTGTTAAGAGAAGACAAATGGCTTTTCCCATCTGCCCAAGTACTCCAAGCAAACTTAGCCATTTTGCTTACTTGATTCAGTGTTGTAAACATAGGAGTCTTAATTTACTCAATGTTGAGTAACTGAAACATTGTCTTAATTTACTCATGTATTAATAGAATTTTCAAAAAGAATGGCTTTCAAGTCCTTTTTTTCTCCCTGCTACTAAGAAATTAAACCCAGGGTTTTCATACTCAACTGTATCCCCAGTGCTTATTTTTTGACACAGAACCAGCCTAAATTGCTAAATTGCCTGGGCTGGGGTTAAACTTTCAGTCCTGCCTTAGTCTCCTGGAGTGCTGGGATCCATGGGCATTAACTTTTTTTTTAAGCCTGTAAAGATAGCAAAATCAAATTATAGTACATTGTCAAAACTACCCTGACCAGTCTTACCATTTTATAACGGAGGGTACTTCTTTTTTCTTAAAACTCTCCAAAAAAAGTGCGAAAAAAAGACAGTGAAATAAGTCATTACAGTTAAGTACAATTTTTAGGCTGGGTAAGGGCAATTTCAAAAATATTTTGAGGGCTATCTAAAGAAAACTTTAGTAGAGAACCAAGATTACCTGGTTTAAACTTGATAAGCATAAGGATCTTAAAATGTAACATCCCCTATGTTGGCCAAATTTTTTTACATTCACGTGGGGAACAATACCTGAGTAGAATACCGTTGTTTACATTTGAGGACCTTAAGGACATCTTGTCCCCATTCCTTTCTCTGCCTCTTGGCTGCTAAAGATTGGTAGCCTCTTCTGCCAGGCCCTTCTACCATGCCCATTTCTGCCTTTCAGCCAGCCGAGGAATGAACCTTCTGAAACCTGAGTCCTACTTTATGCCTGTGAGATGGTGTTCTGTTCTAGTAACAGTAAAGTTGTTGGGGTCTCTGCCTAGATCTCCAATCTCCTAAACAAGTGCATGTTGAAGGCCCAAATGAATGAGATGAGTGGCATGATCTTTAGGGATCCAGGAGGACCAAAATCCTCTGTATGAGTTCATAACTCTGATGGCTGAGACAGTATCTCTGGGCAGCCTGTATTTATTGAAAACAAGGAAAGGGCTGAGTGGAAAACACAGGTAACCTGAGCAGGATCTTGGGAAGGGTTCGAGGACCCCTCCAAGTAACAGATGATGCTAATTCAGGAAAACTATCCAGAAAGTCTCCAGGTGTCCTCAGCTGTAGCTTATCTTGCCCCCTGAAGTGTCTTGTTCTCAGTTCAGCCATGCTCAGGCCATGCCACAGCCCTACATGTGTATTCAGCTTCAACAACTCCAACATAAAGTGATTAATACAGGAACAAACTATGATTAGCATTAGTTATCACCAAATTATTGGTTATAATGGCAGTATCAGAACAATTCAAACTCATTACATCCTTTTGAAAAACTTTTTAAAATATAAACTCACATTAAATTGTGCTCACTAGTGAATAGTATCAGATTAAAAAACAAAATGATTGCAAAGTTATCCAAGAGCCTAAATATTTCCAAATAATATAAGACCTGAGAGTGCTGATGCACACCTGTAATCCCAGCACCTGGGAGGCTGAGGTAGGAGGAATGCAGTGAAGTCCAGGCCAGCCTGGATTACACAGGGAGTTCAAGGCCAGCCTTGGCTCTAGAGTGAAACCTTGTCTCAAAGAAAAAAAAGAGAGAGAGAGAGAAAAGACAATTATCTCAACACATCAACAGAGTAGTCACTGTTTAAGGTTTATTTGGTGTTGCACTTGGTATGACACTTGGTTGCATTGTTCACAGGTAGATCTTTCCTTTTTACATTTATGGCAACATACACTACTGATATATATATATATATATATATATATATATATATAATACACAAAATAAAATCCTTTAAAACAGTTATGCACAAGACATGCAATATTGGATTAATACACTGGATCCCAGGCGGTGACCAACTGGGAAGTCAGGCTAGGCTCGGTTGGAGAAGCTGTATAACAGAGTGACACACATGGGGTTTGAAGGGCAACTGGAGCCTGTGTGGCACTGGCCATGGTGTCTCAGAGACGTGAGCTAAGTTACACTACCCAGTTTAGGACTTTGCAAGTGAAGTACCATCTGCCCTCAGGACAGGACCTGGGGTTTTGTGGACCATTTCTATTTCTAACTTTGGGAACCTGATGCTTTTCCCCAGGCCATCTTAACAGTACTGCCTCAACTACAAGTCAGGTAAAAAGAACGGGTACAACGGCCAACTAAACCCTCCTGTTGCCTAGACAGTGACCTGGTGATACTGAAGACTCTAGAACTGCAGCTCCTTCTGGATCCCCCACAGGGTATCTGCGCTCTTCTTCAAACGGGCTTCTTCATCGGGAGTCAGAGTCACCTTCACGACATCAGAGATCCCATTTTGTCCCAGAACACAAGGGACACTAAGGAAGACGTCATCCTTTATTCCATAGAGTCCCTGAGAGCAAAAAGGCAAAGGTTCCAGGTATTCCATTATGCTATTATGAGCAGTATGAAACAGTCTTTAAATCAGCAACAAGAACAACAGTGATTACAGCAACAAGATGTCCTATGTCCTATTTTGGGTGTTTTGTTTTCTGGCCTTGTCTAGCTCAAGGTGTCATTTCTAAAAGAAAACCTTAAAAATAAATAAATAAACACACACACACACATACAAAAGTTTTTAAGTCAAGTTATCAAAAAAAAAAAAAAATTCAAGCTATCAAGTGTTTACGTGCCACCAAACAATGTAGTGGACATTAATCCAACAGGCGAACCACTTCTTCCCATAAGTTATGAGTACATTAATTTATTTCATTTCACTAAGTGATTGAGGATTTCTATTAATCCAACTGCTTCTCTCAGATGAATTTTTTTTTTTTTTTTTACAGAAGAATCTTAAAAAGAGGCTGAGGATAATGGCTCAGTGGTACAGCACCTGCTTGGCAAGTACAAGGTTGTGAGTTCAATTCCCAGTAGCAAAAAACCCCCAAAAAACAAAAAAGGAAATGAACTGTGGATGTAGTTTAGTGGTAGAGCACATGCCTACCATGTGCAAGACCCTAGCTTTTATTTCCAGTATGGAATGCACACACTCACACATAAACACACAGACACACATATAAAAACAAAGCATTCAAATACATAGACCAACCTTAATCATGGTAGAAATTGGATGCACCCTCCTAAGATTCTTCATTATACTTTCTGCCAAATCTGCCACAGACAGTCCAATGGCCCAGGAAGTGTAGCCTTTTAGTTTGATCACTTCGTAAGCACTGCAGAGTGGAGAAGGATAGGGAAGAGTGAAGGGTAAAGGGACGGGCAGAAAGAGGAATAACAAAGAAAAATAAAGCTTTTGCTGAATATATGCTCTATAAGTAACATGTCTAGGAGTAACTCTTGGACATTATGAATAGGGATATATTCACATCAGTATTACTGGTAACAGCAAAACCAATGCCTTCCATCAGAATGGACAAACTGTGCATATGTGCCAGGTGTTATCGCTCACAGCTACAATCCCAGCACTCAGGAGGTTAAAGCAAGCAGGAGAACCCCAAATTCAAGGACAGTGTGAGCAATGCAGAAAATGTCAGACCAGCCTGGACTATATAGTGAGAGCCTGTCTCTAATAAAAATTTTCTTGTCTGTCTTGTCTTGTCTTTTCTTTTCTTTTCTTTCTGGTACCGGGGATCAAACTCACGACGACCTAGAACTTACCAGCCAGGTGCTTATGCCGCTGAGCTAAATCCCTGGCCCCTCAAAGAAAAATTTTCTCAGGCATGATGACACATGCTTGTATAATGTCAGTACTTGGGAGGCGGAGACAGGAGGATTGCTGTGAGTGGGAGGCCAACCTTAAGTAAGATGGCAAGATCCTGTCTTAAAGCCATGTATGGTGTCACACCATCTATAATTCCAGCACTCAGGAGACTGAAACAGGAGGATCACTTCAAGTTTATGACTACCCTGGGCTACAAAGTGAGTTCAAGGCCAGAGCTACATAGTGAAACTGTTTGAAAAAAAAAAAAAAAAAAAAAAAAAAAGAATGAATAAATAGAATACAGGAATGCTGACAGCATAGTTCAGTATTAGAGTGCTTGTTAACCATCAGCAAGAGCAGGGGTTCTATGCAATGTCCAGGACCACAAAATAAAATGAAGGAAAGCTGGATGCAGAGGTACATGTCTGAAATCCCAGCTACTTGGGCTATGATGAAGGATCCCAAGTTTGAGGTCAGCATGCACAATTTAGTGAATGTAACAGAGCTCAGTGGAAGACTGTGGGTTCAGTTCTCAATACTGAAAATAAAACAAATGAAAAGTAAAACCAGGGCTGGAGGGAAACTCAGTGGTAGAGCACTTGCCTAGCATAAGGTTTTGGATTCAATCTCCTGCAGCTACAAATACAATGAGGGAGGAGAAAAATCCCAAAACCAAAATCTAAAACCACATAACATGTTGGATTCAAGATTATTTATCTCCAGAGCATTGGGAGACAGAGGGGTAGGGAAAAGTTCACCAACAGTACTGAACACAGTCTGCCTAAGAATTCTGACCCAAGAAAACACTAGTTAGGTGACAGTTAATATTAATCTTTTGGCTTTGGTGGTGGGTTCATTTACTTAAACATATACAAGAGAACCAATCATGAAAATGTATCATGAACCAAGAATTACAATTTATTCACTTTAGAAACCTGAGTTCCATATATCAACACCTAATTAAAAAGTAAATTAATGCCAAATTGAAAGTTCCTTACTGCAACATTTTATTTTGTTTTTGGGATAGGGTCTTCCTGTGTGCCCCAGGTTGGTCTCAAAAGTTGTGATCCTACTGCTTCAGGCCCCATGTGCTGAAATTACAAGTATGCATGACTATGTCCGACTCAACAATTTCTAGTAATTATTGCTTTCATTCTTAGTACCTTGCTGAATCTTATGACTTTATGAATAAACAAGCTAGTGTTTTATTCATAATGCTGGCACAAAGGAGAGGGAGACAGGATTGCCATAGTATAGTAACTGCCAGGCTGGACTGCATAGCACAACCCTATCTCAAAAAAATAAACAAAAAAACACACTCCCTCCCCCAAAAAATGGAAATTTTTTTTTTTAAATTTTACGGATTTTATTCCTAGGTGAATAAGCCTAAGTGAATGAATTAAATCTGCTACTGAGGTATAAACTGATCCTCATAGGGTATACACTTTAACTAGAGGCTATCTGTTTCTCCTACTTTCCAGCACTAAGGATAGACCCAGGGGCACTATGCCACTCACCTTTGTCTCCTGCCCTTTTATTTTGCGACAAGGATCCCTAAATTGCACAAACTGGTCTTGAGCTTTCCATCTTTTTTGGAGGGGCAGGGTTCTCGTCTTGCTACACCGTTCAGGTTGGTCTTGAGCCACTTTGTAGTCCAGATTGACCTCAAATTCATAAAATTCCTCCTGCCTCAGCCTCCCAATGACTGGGATTATAAGCATGCACCACCATGCCTGGCAAACTTTCCATCTTCTTACATTAGCCTCAAGTAGCTGGCAGTACAGGCATGAGCCTCTGTGTAGCTCTATTTGTATTTTTTAATCATTTTTTTGTTGTTAACTTTGTATAATCTTTAAAAAAGCTTAACATAACAAGTTTTATCTTTATCATTAAGTCCTCAAATGCAAATCTGAATCTATTACCTGTCAACCACCTGTTTATGAACCTCTTTCCAGTGCTCCTTATCCCCATCAGTTCCTAACTCGGGGTGCAGATTCTTCAGGGCGACACCAGCAACGTTCACTCCACTCCACACAGGGACTGAAAGAAAGTGTACAAGCATGTACTTATTTTCATTCAGCATTAGACCTGTATTTCCAACTCTCTTACCTGCAGAGGTGGGTTATCCTCTGGTAGTGTTTCCCCCCAAATAAGCCCTAACGGCAAAGTACATCTTAGCTGGTGGTTACCAGTGGATGGTGAAGATTATACCTTGTTACTGTCTTGTTCCATGGTTATTATATAAGGGCAGGTAGACATTTTTGATCTCTAATTTTCTCCACCCACCCCGTTTTTTGAAACAGGGCCTCATTATGCAGTTTAGGTCAGCCTTGAGCTCACTTTGTAGCCCAGGCTGGTCTCAAACTAACAACCATCCTCCTGCCTCAGCCTCCGGAGTGATGGTGTGATTACAGGCGTGTGCAACCATGCCCCGCTTGATCTATAGTTCTCAAGGCTGATTATTTTCCAGTTATTTCTTTTAGGGAAATATAGTAGATGGCTAAGACTAAACACAAGTGTCTTTATTCACATTTGAATTAGATTTCCATTTCTTAGGTTATATGAAACTATATGAATTAACCTTTTTTCCTAATTATTAGGAATTATGTAGTCTATATATACTTGAAATACAAAGATCATATGCAAACATAAAAGGAATTTTCTTAATGTAACAGAACTCTGAGAACTTCGTACAAACTACATCATCTTTCAACAGTCACTGTAACAGAAATGTTTTTGTGCACTCCTTCCAGGTTGGCTGACCTGCTCCAGGCAGGCAGTGGAAGCCAAGTAGCTGTGATAGTAAAGGACTGATACACCAGTAACAATTATGACTTAACACATCCAGAGACTGACATATGTGTAGCTCAGTGATAGTGTGTGGTTAGCATACATGAGCACTTGGGTTTTATCCCTGGTACCAAAATAGATAACATGTCAACGATTTTACTTACTTCCATAAAAGTAAAGTTGGAAAAAAAATAAAGTTAATTTCATTGTCTACCCTCTTTGCCATAAAATGTCGTATAACATAGCTAAAAATCTTAATTCTTAACATAGAATTTCAAAAATGGTTAAAAAAGAAAAAAAAATGGTAGATTCCGGGAAACCATTCTCCCTTTATTAATGGATATATAATTTAGTCTCTCATTTAATGATGCCTGGAAATTTCAATACAATCTCTGTGGAACAGAAAGAGAAGTATCCTTTGCTTACCACTGGAATCTCCATGTTCCCCAAGGATCCACCCATGGCAGCTCAGTGGATGAACTCCCAGCCTTTCCCCCATCAGGTAGCGGAATCGGGCTGAATCCAGGTTGCAACCACTTCCAATAACACGGTTTTTGGGAAAGCCACTTATCTTCCAAGCCACATAGGTCAAGATATCCACTGTGAAGAAAATTTAGATAAAAACTAGGTGATTAGCTTCTGGAGAGATATGGTTGAGGGCCAGGCGTTGGGGTACACAGCTGTGATCACAGTTCTCAGAAAGCTGAGGTTAGATAGCCATGAGTTTGAGCTAGCCTGAGCTACATACACAGTGTTCAAGGCCAGCCTGAACTATACAGAGACCTTGCCTACTCCTACCCTGCAAAAAGAAGATATAAACAATTCTGAATGATATTGACTCAGACTATTTGATACTTTTACTAATATTATTAAATATTGTGCTATTTATCTCAAGTCCATCAAATATTTAAGAAGCATTACATTACTTCATGAAAATAAACTGATTATCAGTAAGGACAATATAATTATTATTATTTTTTTTTTTTGTCTTTTTCCTTATTGGTACCAGGGATCGAACTCATGACTGCCTGCTTACAAGGCAGGCGCTTATGCGGCTAAGCTAAATCCCCCACCCCTACAATATAATTATTCATAAATTTATAACTAAAATCTCGGACAAGTGCCAGCTATGTTCAGAGATGTTATATCCCTTGTACATTTTATAATTTACTATTTTACAGAAATACAAATCTACTCCCAGGAGGGAAATAAAATATGAGAAATGAATTGATAAACATGCATATAACACATGCTATCTATTTTTCTACAGCTCATCTGTTTTTATAAAGTAAAAAATCTCACCTGGATTGGAAACAACAAGCAGCTTGCAGTTTGGGCTGTACTTCACAACATTAGGAATGATGAACTTAAAGATGTTCACATTACGCTGCACCAAATTAAGACGGCTTTCTCCCTCTTGCTGCCGAGCACCAGCTGTGATAATAACCAGCTTGGAGTTTGCAGTTACATTATAGTCTAAAGAGAAACAATGAACAGAGTAAAAACCTTTAAAACAATGGTTTTACCTAGCCAGCAAAACTTTGTCCTATAGATTTGTATATAACTGGCCCTAAAGCCTTCTACATCTGACTTTTCCCTTAGTAGTCCATGCTTTCCTTGTCTATTTTTAGTCATGCCTAACTTTTTGTAACTACAATTGGGAGGAACTGAAAGTAATCGAGTTTATTCTCCTAACTTTTTATATAGTCTCCAAGTTTCTGCTACCTAGGGTCCATGTTCACTTTTCCATGTTCCTGTTTTGTTTTGTTGGTAGGCACCAGAATTGAATACAGGACCTTGCACTTGCTAGGCAGGCACTGTACTGCTGAGATATCTCCCTGGCTCCTCATACTCCTATTTTTACTTAGCTACTTAATTGTTGCCAAGAGACTATCAAACACCCCCTTACTTATCACCACAAGCAGATAATTTTATAACCAAGTATGGGGGTAGATCTGTAGTAGTAATGAAATCACCTCCCATTTGCACTTAAAGCAATTGTTGGTATTCTTAGTCTCACATGTACCCATGAACTTTCATAGATTCAACTACTAGAATATTTCTCACTGAATATAATGCTCTGTACAAGTCTTTGTGCAAAACTACTGCTACAGTTTGCATTTTTGCCTATGTGAAAAATATACATTGTTGACATGTCCCAGCTCTAATAACCAGCTTGGAGTGTAAGGTTACATTACAGTCTAAAGAGAATTTAAGAGAATGTTTTTAAATACTCTGTGCCAGGACATATGACTCAAGGAGCTGCCTAGCAGGTGTGGGGCTGAATTTCAAAGGCCAAAACAGACACAGTTTGGGCTCATGTTCCAAGCTGCCAAGCTGCTGCTAATCAGCAGGAAACAGTTAAGCTGAAACTATCTCCTCAGCAGGCTCCTTTACCCTATTCTTAGCCTAGTGTTAGTGGATTGAAAGGAAGCAGGGAGGAGTAAAATCACTTAAGGGTTTTGAGCAAGACTAGGGTACAGCTCAGTGGTAAAGCACTGGTCTAGCGTGTTCAAGACCTCAGTTCTATCACCAGCAAAATTAATTTATTAATTTCAATCTGCAGTAATGTTGTTAAATGTAGATTCAAGGTTTAAGGTTTTCTTTCTCTCTCTCTCTTTTTTTTTTTTGGTGGTGGTGGGGGGACCAGGAATCCAACTCAGGACCTCATGCTTGCCAGGGAAGTGCTGTGCCACTGAGCTAAATCCCTTGCCCTTACTCATTATAATTCTAATTCAGAAGATTTCCACTTCATGGCAAACTGGATTTCCATTGGATACTATCTACTGGAGATTAAAACTTTTGATATCCATAGGTACCAATGTGCAATTATTCTAAGGCTGTCCTATAAGGTATAAAAAAAAATCTCTGAAAAGCTTAAGATTTCAAGCCTGATGAATGTAAGTCTAACATGAACTATAATATAAACTTGCTGAAATCAACCTTTGCCAGAGACGATTTTTGGTGTTCTAAGAAAAAGGCTGCCATGCTGGAGATCCATCATCTCTCCCTTCAGTTTGTCCTCCATGACATCAACAAGAGCAAGCTCATCTGCCAAGTCCTAAAAGACACAAAATTCGTAGTTAAGCGGCAAATTGCCATTTTCAGATTTTTAACAAAGCACATAACATTTCTTTTTTTCTGGCATAGAAGAGTTCAAATAACTTCCAATTATGCAACACTGCTTTATTCATTATGTCAAATTCAGTTTTATGTATTAATTTTAAGTTGTTACTAGATGACAATGACCAATATTAAGACATGGAATTCAGGGCTGGGGATTTAGCTCAGCGGCATAAGCGCCTGCCTTGCAAATACGCAGTCATGAGTTTGATCCCCGGTACCTATTAAAAAAAAAAAATACATGGAATTCAAAAGTGACAATCTGGATCATTCTCTGGTTTTTTACATATGCAAGCACTAGTAGTAGTTTTACACTAAGACTTATACACTGTAGTATAACTGTCCTGACAGTTGAATCTATAAAAAGTAACACAGATGCATCTGAGACCAAGAACACTAACTGCTTTACTGCAAATGGGAGGCAATCTGTCATTGTCTCTACAGATCCACCCCCTAATCATCTACAATGAGAGGTCTCCTAGACACCCATATCCCACACCTGAATCAGAGGCAAAAGAAAAAAAAAAAAAAAAAAAAGGACTATAACTGACTCATGTGTGGGGAAAACAGCATCAATTTCTGTTCTAGTACGTATAGAGTTGTACCATGTGGCTTCCCCTAAGCAAGCTGTGTTGTTACAAGACCTTTACATAGCTTGTTTTTGCCTAAGACCTGTCTTTCTTCAATCCATTTTTGGTCAGAATGCAGAATTTCTTACTTAACTGTTCTACTAGAAATTCCAACTAGGGAAGGAGCTGGGCGTGGTGACTCATGCCTGTAATCCCAGCACTAGGGAGGCTGAGGCAGGAGGATCGTTGTGAGTTTAAAAGCAGCCCGGGCCACAATGAGCTCAAGGCCAGCCTGAACTGCATAGAGAAACTTTGTCTCAAAAAAAAAGAAATTCCAACTAGGACCTGGCATGCCTATAATCCCAGCAATTGGAAGGCTGAGGCACTCGGGAGGCTGAGGGAGGAGGACTGTTGAGAGGCTGAGATCAGCCTGGGCTACAAAGTAAGCTCAAGGCCACCTCAAACTACATAGCTAGACCCTGTCTCAAAAAGACAAAAGGAAAAAAAGAAAAAATGCTGCCTCAATTATATTTTGATACAGATCTGGTTTTAATGCTGTAAAATGTGCAGCCAGGCTTTGTGGCACATGCCTGTGATCTAAGCACTTGGACCACACATAAGCCATGAACCACTTATGCCTACTGTAGGCATATTGAAAGTGTATTTTAGGAACTGGTTGCCAGGCCTGTAACTTTTCAGTTTTTTTGTAGTGGTTATTGAACTCAGGACCTTGAGCATGCCAGGTAGGCACTCATGCCTACTGAGCTAAATCTCCAGCTTGCCCTACAACTTGTAATACTTTTTGATTTCCAATAACTTTTGGTACCATCAGTATGTTTCAAAGTGTTCAAAGTACGCATGTAACTCACATAAATTATGTGGTGTCTGAACTCAAATCTTTTTTAATATACTGTGTAATGATATGGAGAAGGCTGGGTCAAGAGTGGTGAACTTTCTTACCTTCATTAAGATACTGATGGCACAGGCCATGCCAACAGCACCAACCCCAACAACTGTAATCTTATTCTGGGGCACCTGCTCTTCCTTAAGCAAGTTCACAATCAGCTGATCCTTGAGACTGGCCATTTTGGACTTAGAACCAAAAGGAACCTATAGGGAAAAAACATTCAGTGTCATTTGGACCCTTTTGAAATTAACATTTATTAGAGAGCTGCTTTAGGGGAAAAACCTTAGAAGAGTATAGACGCCTAATGCCAGGGTCTAGTCCGATCAGGGTGTTGATGCGTAGGATCTCACCTTGGCATGGAAAAATAATATAGATGTTTGTGTGTAAGTATAACCTCCTGAGGGCTCACTCATCTTGCTTTATTAACCCCAAGCAGGGCGGGACTCTCCTCAGACAAGATTATTGGAGCCACCTACGCAGCTTTCTATCCACACAGGAACCGACAGCAAGTACAGTGCCAATCCCTCAAGCCAGGCCCAAAAGTACCGCCACAAAGCGACACCAACCGCCACGAGGCACAACCCCAAGCAGAAGAATGTGCTGCGAACCCTGCGCATGCGCACACTGGCTTTTCCGCGAGTCCCCAAGACTTATGCCCCGCCCAGACTGCGAGAAGCGCGCTCAGCGCGAAGAGAACTTGTGCGCGTGCGCACTGCAGGGCCCTGGGGAGTGGAGCGGAGCTTTCTGGGGTGGCTGGTCAGAAACACGCGGCCAGGCTGGGGAAACCCAGCCCGCTAGCAGACATCAGGAGCTATCCTGAGCCATGGGGTCAGAGAAGGCGAACACCTAGTTAGACTTTAAACTTATCAGTGCCCTGAAACAGACAGGAGCACTGTGAAGGCCAGGTGGCAGCCTGCCTGGCTTGGTGGGTGGCGAGAATCATACTTTCAAGTCTCCAATACCAGGAACCTGGGGCTGTTAAACTGCGGAGGAGGGGCCTCGTACAACCGCCTTGGTTCTGGTTGCAAAGGCTTGAAGCCCTGTTAAGGAAATTTTGTCAGCACAGAAAGTGCAGGAGGGGGATGAAGAAGCCAGGAGGCCTAAAGTTCAGAACTGATACTTTGTAGAACTCTCAAATTGCAGAGCCAGAAGGGGTCCCAGTCTGCTCATCCAGCCCTGCCTCGCACAGGTTTGACACCTTTCCAAAGGGCGAAAATATCTGGGAGGACCTGGAGCCAGGCAGCCCAAAGTCTTCCCGCTGGAAACTGTCTCTCCTGACAAAGCACTGCTATTTCTAGACCTCCCTGTAAGGATTCTGCAGCCGGGGAGGGTGATGTTCAGCTGCAGAATGCGGGTCCATTGCCGGCCTCTGCCACCACTCACTGTGGCCTTAGTGATAGATGCCCAACTCTCACAGCTTTAGGTGTCCCCATTTGTTAACTGCAGGTGATGGGACCGGGCGATGCCACTCCGACGGTTCCTATGAAATGCGGGCGGATCGCAACTCCGCCTGCTCGGTCTTTGCATACACCGTGTTTAGCGCGATCTGGATACCCAGAATCTTCATAATCCGATGGGTAGGTGCCACGGAGGCCACCTCTTAATCGTACCCCGGAAAAATACTTCCCGCGTGGGGCTGAGATTTCCCGACTCCTAGGAAACCGCCCGGGATGCACTGGGGCTTTGGCGGCCCCCGCGGCTCCGGCAATGCGACCCCGTTTTGCACTGGTGGCGGATTTCGATCCCAGAATCACCCTGCCCTCCGATTCTTCGTCTCCGTGTCTTTCGGCATCCACCAGCGCTCTGGACCCCAAGTTGGGTGGGGCTAACGGCTCGCCCCCTGGGGGCCGAGGTCACAGATGCACCCTTAAGAGCACCACGGGCCCCAAGACCATGCATGGTGCAGCCACCGCCCAGGTCTGAGCTATGTTCCCGGGGATGAGAACCTACAACCCCTGAGACGGAGACCCCCGTCGCACCCAGCCAATGAAGCCACAGGCAGCTGGCTCTCCCGCCCGTCCCCTCGGGCGCAGTTCTGTGCGCGCCAGGCCACACAGTACCGGGAGTGCACGTGGGGCAGTGGTCGAGGTGCGCAGCTCCTGAGGTCAGGACTCGGCGGCAGCAGCTCCGGGACTCAGAGCAGCATGCGGGAGGGGCCTTAAATGCAATGGCGAGGCTGACGTCAAGGGGGAGCCAGGCGGACGTGCGGGAACCCACGTGTGGACTGGGCCGGGGGCGGGAACCCGGCCGGGCGGAGCCCTGGGGACCCGGGCTGAGCGCTCAACCGTTGGGCGAGCCAGCCACGTTGCGCCCGGGCGGCTCAAGGATCTCTTAAAGCCCGGACCAGAGCCGCGAGCCGGAGTGGGGCCAAGCCCTTCGCTTCCTTTCAGGAAAATGTGGCGCTGTCTCACGGAAGCCCTGATCTCTTCGTCGCAGTTTCCCAGTACCTGGGGCAGCTTCTGGCACATAATACGCACTCGATAAATGTTTATTGATTGCAAAAAGAAAAAAAAAAAAATGCTTGGCACAGCGTCACTCTCTCTAGTCCAAAAATCAGTCGGTCAGTCTGAGGCGTCTGTTTCCAAGTCCCAAACTCCCAGGGAAGCCCAGGTCTCAGGCCTTGCTGGATGACTCAGGTCGAATTTGCATCCGCGCCTGCACTTCCCACTGCCCCACCCCGCGGGCGCTGTGGGTCCGGCGGCAACCAGGAACTGTAACAGTTGGCTGTTCATGTTAACATCCACCATCCCCTGAAAACACATTCCACCCTCCACGTCTATGATTCACTTTTGGATGTATTTTTTTAGAAACTTTTTTTCTAGCCTTTTGGCCTTTGTTGACGCCAATTTTTGTACCTGGCACGATTTTCCCAGTCCATCTCTTTAAACTGCATCCACCTTTTTTATTTTCCCACTGACGTGTAAATGAAACATAGTAGGTGAGCCCTTGGCGGTAATGATAGGAAAAGACCAAGTGGAGAGAATGTTGGAACTTTCAGCACTATCAGAAGACCTCAAGGAAAGCTTGTGGTGGCTGGAACTTTTGATCCCTAGAAGTACCCTTGAAGAAGTTAGCTTATTGCTGAAAAAATAGAATGGTGCAGCACACCTGTGTTCCAGCACTGGGAGGCTGAGGCAGGAGGATCCCTGTGGGGGCGAGTGAGTTTGCTACAGTGGGCTACATAGTGAGTTCAAGGCTAGACTGAACTACTTCGGAAGACCTCATCTCAAAAAGAAAAAAAAAAAAGAAAGAAAGTTAGTTGCTGAACACTGTCACAGAGAGGGCATGGAAGCCTGGCATTTGTTTACTCTCTGGCTCTGGAATTCAAGAATTCCACCAAGGGCCTGTTAATTTTTGGGCTCCAGGCTCCCTGATACTGTACTTTGCCTTATGTATCTCTTCACCTGATTGTTCTTTTGTAATTTTTTTTTTTTAAATAAAGCACTACGCTGGGAGCATGTACAGGGGGAAGGACCTTTAACTGGTAGAGCACAGGGCCCCAGGGTTCTATCCTAGGCACAGCGAAAAAATAAAATTAAAAATTAACAACAACAACAAAGTAAAAGTATGCGTTTCTCAGAGTTCTGTAAGCTGCCTTAGCAACCTGAAGTAGGGGGCATAGGAGAGGCCCCATTTATAGCATGATCAGAAGCAGGAGTCTGAGGCAGTCTTACCCCAGTTCTAACATCCATACTTACAGGTTTCTTCTTTCAAAGGTTAAATTAACCCCAAGTCCATAAAAGCTGGGCATCTCTCTAGCATGTGCCATTGTCACTCCTCTGGGAGGTCCTGAGACCTGGGCTGTCACCCCAGACTAATCACTGAGGGAGTTGGGGATGGGCACAGATTCTGCAGCGGCCCAAGACAATGTCTCCGGGTCCTCGGTCTGTACCAGAGTCCTCAGTCAATCAAAGCTGTGGTTCTGCCTGCCTGTCAGATGAAATCAAAGATGCTCGGAAGAGCCAGAACACAGAGTGGAACTGGCCTGGAAACTGGTTGGAATTTACATCTGAGGTTGGGCAGCTGGTGGGCAGGGGTATCTACATGTCCCTAAACCAAGGCACTGACACAGTGTGCCCTCTTAGGGCACACTGTGGTTCCCTCTTAGGCACAACAGCTATTGCTTGAATCCAGGAATATAAATACAGCAAATACTATTTTGCTGAGCACCTGCTAACATGGCAGGCAGTGAGCTAGGCAATCCTCATACTTACCTTTGCTTTTTTTTTTTTTTTTCTTTTGAGGCAGGGTCTCCCTATGTGGTTCAGGTTGACTTTGAACTCTCTTTGTAGTCCATGTCAGTCTCGAACTCCAGGTGATCCTCCTGTCTCAGCCTCCTGAGTGCTAGAATTACAGGCATATGATACCATGCCTGGTTTACCTTCACTTGAATTCCATAGCCATAAGTATTCCCATTTTCCAGATGTGGATCCAAAGCTCAGAGAGATTACTGACTTTACCGAGGTTGTGCAGCTACTAAGTGACTTTGACTTGACTGTAATTCATGGCCAATACCAAAATCTGTGATTTCCTCTCTACAAGATGTTATCCCACCTTCAGCCTCTGCATAAGGCACAAAATTATCTAGGGGCGCCATACCAGTCTCAGGGACCAAAGAGGCCATGGGCACTAGAGAGGATGAACTGAAATATCCATCTTCTTCTGCCTCAAGATGGAGCTAATAAAATTGTTCCTCCTGCTTCTCAATTTTTCCAATTCTTTTGGGTTTTTGTTTGGTTGGTTTCATTGTTTTCAGACAGGGTATCAGTGTCAGTGTGCAGTTCAGCCCAGTTGACCCAGAACTCACTGTGTAACCCAGGTTGGCCTTGAATGCGTGCTGATTCTCCTGCCTCAGTGTCTTGAGTGCTGGGATTACAGCTGTAGCCACCATGCCTGGCTAGATTTTTAGGTTCAGGTTAGAATTGACACTACTGGCTTTCCTGAGTCTCGAGTTTACAGATGGGAGATCATGGAACCTCTCCGCCTCTGTAATTATCTGAGTCATTTCTTCATGATAACGTTGTTAATCTTGGTTCCCGTTCTGCTTCTCTGGAGAACCCTGACTAATGCATTCCGAGCAGCAGGATTTCTGTATTTAAGGCAAAGCAGAGTATTGGACTCACAGAACAGTTTAGGATATATTGTGTCAAGAGCAGAGCAGGCTTAACCTGACCAAGTATCCTTTGGATGTGGTCTCTTGAAAGAGAAACTTCTATGAAGTGGTTTGGCCAAGGGATTCTACTTTAATTCTTATTGCTCTGTATCTCTTTGTCTCTCTAAACGTAAGCTCCTAGTTGAAAAGCACTTTCTCACCATCTCCATTGCCTCAGCACATAATTTATTTAACAATTATTTCCGTTTGTGGTGGTCGGAATTGAGCCCAGGGACTCCCACGTGGTATCTAACAGTGTACCAACTCTTAGAAGCCCAGGGGTCTTCTAAATGTAATACTCCTAATTCAGCCTCCCAAGTAGCTAGGATTATAGATGATGATCATCATAAAATATTTAATTATATGCTCACTGTGTGAAGGGATTGTGCTATCATAGTTAGGTGCTAGGGATACAAAAATCAGTAAGAGAGCTGGGTATGAAGGCAAATACAGTCTCAGCTACTCAGGAGGCTGAGGCAGGAGGATCACTTGAACATTAGTTCGAAGCCAGCCTGGGGAATATAGCAAAAATCCCATCTCAGAGAGAGAAGGAGAAAAAGGAATGAACCAAATTTATAAGCTTTCAAAGACTAGGAGGGAAGACAAACAGCATTCCCCTCAATCTCACGATGCAAGATAGGAGGTAATGCTGCCAGAAACAGGTAGGAAAAGTACTCCAGCATTCAGAGGTGAAAGTTTTCGAGCAGAGAAATCTTAGGAGGCTTTCTGGAAGAGGCAGCTTTGGAGCTGTGGCTAGAAAAAGTTTTCAGTCATGGAAGATCAGATGCAGAGAAAACAGAGAAGGTAGCATGAATCATTGCACTGGGGCAGCAGGAATCTTTAGCCTTAAATGTCTGGCTAAGCAATTTCTGAGTGGCTTTTTGTTTGCTTGTTTCTTGGTGCTCAGTGGAAGTCAGCAGAGTTTCTGGAGAATGAGAGAGAAAGGACAGAAGCAAGATGTCTGAGAAGCCAAGGCAAGGGGAGAACTTTGTTTTGTAGTAATACACATTAGCCACAGCAGAAGCCACAGCAGAACCCACACAGCTCTCTCAGCAGCTACATAGCACACCATAGCACACTCTCTCCAACATAACCCTCCAGGCCCACGGCCCCTCGGAACACTCACTGGCAGTCTGGCTTTCTCCACTTTTGCCATGGTTGCAAAACTGATGACTTTCCTGAGTTGCAGGGCCCAGACTACAGGCGACCTCATCTGTCTCAATCTCTGTCCTCCACAGACCAGGATGTGCTGTGTACGTGCTAGAGTAGAGGTTTCCCCGCAAGCAAGCAGCACTTGCTTTCTGAGAAAGTGCTTTATGTCACCCGTCCCCTCCCCCAGCTGACCCAGCCCTCAAATGAGGACAGGCGACTGGAAGACTCCAACTCTCCTGGTGGCATCTCCTGGTACCAGCTACCTCCCACCGCCTCTGCTCCTCCAGGGAGGCTCCACCTCGGGAGATAGATGAGATGCTGTCTGTTTCCCTTTAGGACTTAGGTTTATTTTTTCTTCTTTTGCTGGGGGGTCAGAAAGAAGCAGGTTTTTTTGTTTTGTTTTTGTTTTTTGTCTTTTTCCTTTTTATCGGTACCGGGGATCAAACTCAGGACTGCCTGCTTGCAAGGCAGGCGCTTATGCCGCTGAGCTAAATCCCCAGCCTTCAGGGTTTTTGCATTGTAGCCCAGGCTGGCCTCTAACTCTTGGGGATCCTCCTGCCTCGACCTGCCTGAGTGCAAACCATGCCTGACTGGATTTGGACTTTTGTCCTTCCCTCCAGAATTCATGCCTCCCCTGGGTGTCTAAGGGAATCCATCTCAGCAGCTCGGGACTCCCTCAGCCATGTCCTACCCTGGGAAAGAAGTAAGGGCTGTGCCCTTTGTGCTCCGTCTGGCCTGGGCCAGCCAGGGCCTCGAGCTTTCATTCTAACCCGCAGGTTCCCAAAGACTAGAGCCAGAGTACAGGCAGGCTCCAACTGAGAGCACCCCAAATCTGTGCTGCAGCAGGAGTGGCCCCATGGCTCCTCCAGTCCCCACTGTTAGCGGGCAACCATCACAGGGTGTCCTTTATCTAATCACAGCAGGGCAGGGCCACATGGAAACTATGTAGGACA